AACTCAAAATGTAAATTTTCCAGGATATCGACGTTTTGCGAGATACTGCATTTTAATGAAACCTCGTATTTTTTCTCAAGTTTCTGAGTATTTCTAACTGATCATAGTTTTTGTCATTAATCTTGGAGATCGCTCAAGAAGTTGAAGAGAAACTCATATTTTGTTCAATTTCCTAAAAAAGCCTGAAATTCTCAACTTTTCACAGGATGAAATTGTAGAAGAAAAAAATTGGGGAAATTTTATTTTTTTTGAAAGATAAAAAGTCGCAATGAAATTAGTAATCAAAGTTAAAAAAAGCTAAAAAAACATTTATTGGAAAAAAAGACTCCGAACATATCTTTTTTGAAACTGTAGGTCCAAAACTTATACACAGTTTCTACTGGATCTCTTTTTTTTCAAGTCAGATTGAGTTTATTTTTTCGAACAGTTTAGTGCTATCACTCATATTTGATATGTCAACTTCAATTTTTCTCGTGAACGACATGAATTATCATAAAACGCTGAGAATTTATGCGACGAGATTCAAATGCTTTCTTTCAAAAATGTTTTCTGATAGGGAAATGACGTCACAAGGACACAACTCCACGCAGCGGACGCCATCAGGCTGACGCAATGTGTCCAGCCTCAGTTATAACGGCTGATGACACTGTGGCGCCAAATTTCCAAGTTTCCAACTTTTCATGTTTTGAAACATCTGTTCACCTGATTTCTACAGTGTTCTTGTTTTGCAGTAGCTGAAAATGTAGTCTTCAAAAAGTGCACGAAGTACAGTTTTTTAGTGTTTATTGTGGCCGACTCCTGCAGTTACTGAAAATTTTTTTAGTTTTTTAAAAACGTTTGTCGGCTTTTCGCAACCATAGTTCATTTACCTCTTACTTGACACAATAAATCTTCGAGGATAAAAAGGGCAATGGACAATGATGAACTATGAACAGCATCGCGGTAGTTTTTGTTTGGAGAAAATCGGAAGAAACTTTCAATAATGAATTTTTGAACAAGTGACTGGAATTGTGCCCTTGTGACGTCTTTTTATTCTCAAAAAAATTTCTGAAAACGAAGCACTACTTTTCAAATTTTGAAAGTCTTTTCGCTTAAGTTTTTTCAAAAATCGAACTCTAGCGTTATCAACCAAGTACAATCCAAATCAGAAGTAACTGCCTTCGGGGAATTTTTCAAGAAAATTGAGACTTTGTCCGTTTCAAAAAAGTTGTCTTGCTCTATGATTTCCGATCAAAATGTTCTGCCGATAACATCACTTGAGCACTGGGGAATGCATAATTTGTTTCATTATCAACATAGGAAACATTTTCAGATTTTTTTTAAAATAAAAAACGCTTTTGGCGGAACTAGCGGATTGCGGACGAGCCACTCAGCACGATATTCGTATGAGCCGGAGCGGGACCTTCCAGCTCCCTCGTCTCATTTCTCCATCTACTTTCCACCGTCGTTGTCTACGTTGCTTTTATTTGTCGAACAAATTATTATTATAAAAGGCCTTTACGCACCCTACAAATTGTTTGTACAGAAACTTATAACAGAAAATGAAACCAGCACAATTCGCCATGATGAAAAGATTTCTTTGGATGAGTTACTGTTTCACGAAATTCATATATAAAATAATGGCATTTTTCGTAGATATTTCTGCTTTACTCAATGTTATAAAGATAATTCCCATTATTTAGATATGAATTCATATAAATACATCAAACAAGAAAAGATTTGGGAAAAAAAAGTTTTTTTGGATGAGTTACTGTTTCACGAAATTCATATATAAAATAATGGCATTTTTCGTAGATATTTGTGCTTTACTCAATGTTATAAAGATAATTCCCATTATTTAGATATGAATTCATATAAATACATCAAACAAGAAAAGATTTTGGAAAAAAAAGTTTTTTTGGATGAGTTACTGTTTCACGAAATTCATATATAAAATAATGGCATTTTTCGTAGATATTTGTGCTTTACTCAATGTTATAAAGATAATGCCCATTATTTAGATATGAATTCATATAAATACATCAAACAAGAAAAGATTTGGGAAAAAAAGTTTTTTTGGATGAGTTACTGTTTCACGAAATTCATATATAAAATAATGGCATTTTTCGTAGATATTTGTGCTTTACTCAATGTTATAAAGATAATTCCCATTATTTAGATATGAATTCATATAAATACATCAAACAAGAAAAGATTTGGGAAAAAAAAGTTTTTTTGGATGAGTTACTGTTTCACGAAATTCATATATAAAATAATGGCATTTTTCGTAGATATTTGTGCTTTACTCAATGTTATAAAGATAATTCCCATCATATAGATATGAATTCATATAAATACATCAAACAAGAAAAGATTTTGGAAAAAAAAGTTTTTTTGGATGAGTTACTGTTTCACGAAATTCATATATAAAATAATGGCATTTTTCGTAGATATTTGTGCTTTTACTCAATGTTATAAAGATAATGCCCATTATTTAGATATGAATTCATATAAATACATCAAACAAGAAAAAGATTTTGGGAAAAAAAGTTTTTTTGGATGAGTTACTGTTTCACGAAATTCATATATAAAAATAATGGCATTTTTTTCGTAGATATTTGTGCTTTACTCAATGTTATAAAGATAATTCCCATTATTTAGATATGAATTCATATAAATACATCAAACAAGAAAAAGATTTTGGGAAAAAAAGTTTTTTTGGATGAGTTACTGTTTCACGAAATTCATATATAAAAATAATGGCATTTTTTTCGTAGATATTTGTGCTTTACTCAATGTTATAAAGATAATTCCCATTATATAGATATGAATTCATATAAATACATCAAACAAGAAAAAGATTTTGGGAAAAAAGTTTTTTTGGATGAGTTACTGTTTCACGAAATTCATATATAAAAATAATGGCATTTTTTTCGTAGATATTTGTGCTTTACTCAATGTTATAAAGATAATGCCCATTATTTAGATATGAATTCATATAAATACATCAAACAAGAAAAAGATTTTGGGAAAAAAAGTTTTTTTGGATGAGTTACTGTTTCACGAAATTCATATATAAAAATAATGGCATTTTTTTCGTAGATATTTGTGCTTTTACTCAATGTTATAAAGATAATTCCCATTATATAGATATGAATTCATATAAATACATCAAACAAGAAAAAGATTTTGGGAAAAAAAGTTTTTTTTGGATGAGTTACTGTTTCACGAAATTCATATATAAAAATAATGGCATTTTTTTCGTAGATATTTGTGCTTTACTCAATGTTATAAAGATAATGCCCATTATTTAGATATGAATTCATATAAATACATCAAACAAGAAAAAGATTTTGGGAAAAAAAGTTTTTTTTGGATGAGTTACTGTTTCACGAAATTCATATATAAAAATAATGGCATTTTTTTCGTAGATATTTGTGCTTTTACTCAATGTTATAAAGATAATTCCCATTATTTAGATATGAATTCATATAAATACATCAAACAAGAAAAGATTTGGGAAAAAAAAGTTTTTTTGGATGAGTTACTGTTTCACGAAATTCATATATAAAAATAATGGCATTTTTTTCGTAGATATTTGTGCTTTTACTCAATGTTATAAAGATAATGCCCATTATTTAGATATGAATTCATATAAATACATCAAACAAGAAAAAGATTTTGGGAAAAAAAGTTTTTTTGGATGAGTTACTGTTTCACGAAATTCATATATAAAAATAATGGCATTTTTTTCGTAGATATTTGTGCTTTACTCAATGTTATAAAGATAATTCCCATCATATAGATATGAATTCATATAAATACATCAAACAAGAAAAAGATTTTGGGAAAAAGTTTTTTTGGATGAGTTACTGTTTCACGAAATTCATATATAAAAATAATGGCATTTTTTTCGTAGATATTTGTGCTTTACTCAATGTTATAAAGATAATTCCCATCATATAGATATGAATTCATATAAATACATCAAACAGGAAAAGATTTAATAGAAAATGTTTCATTCAAATAGGTGCTTGTATATTTTAATTTTTTCGTGGATCGTTTATCATAAGTCAGAAGTTCAGAAAAGTTGTGATCAGGTACCTGAAAAAATTTGCTGGTAAGAAACTTCATTACTTTTATCTGTACATGTCTTTGAATTTCACCAAACGACATTCCGCTGTGCAGCACGCTTTTGCAAACGTTGGTCGCGTTTCATAAAGGTACTCAATTTTTTCTGCTCCCACAGCAATAAAATTCATTCGGAAGCGTGACCTTGATTTGAAAGACGCTCCGAGAACGCACGCAGCGGAACAGCGGAATATCGTTTGGTGAAATTTCAAGTCGTGGCACACAGACTATAATATGATATACAACCACATTAGACCAGTTCAAAATGTTGTTCAAAATACTTTCTTTCAATTCAGAGTACCAAAAACCGCCGAAACTTTCTGCTAAGCCTCATATGATTCAAACCAGAAGCGACTGCCAGTGATCCTTCATTCATCTTGAAAAAATCCTAGACTTTTAAAGTTTAAAAAAATTCATTTTTGACTCTATATTTCCAATCAAATTGTGTTCACTCCCGCTAATAATATGACTTAAACTCGAGAAAACAACGAAATTTTTTTTTATTGTCCACAAAGGAAGAATCTTTGTATTTCATTATGAATTACAAAAACGCTTTGATAAATTTGTAAATTCAACCTTTTATTGTCAAAAATTTGATTATCTAACAATACCCATCTCAAAACGCGTTCAGCAAATAAATTAGTAAAAGGAAAAATGACGAAAACCCCTGGAGAGAACAATAAAAGAAAAAGATTCAAAAAGCTCAACAACCGACTATCATCAAAATCACAAAATTTGAAAGAAATTGAGATTCGTGAAAGTTAAGAGAGAGAGAGAGAGAGAGTAATAAAAAATGCGAGAAGACACTTAAAGAACCATAGAAAACCGTAAACTCCTGAATATGAATAAGAGTAAAAAGTGACGTTGGGATTTGGAAATTTCGGGCCGATTTAGAGCTCCGAGGGGTCGTGCTCCTTCTCCTCTTCGACTTTCTCAGTCGTGGTGCCCTCCTCGGCCTGAAAATTGATGGAAATCTATAATTTTATCTTTGATACCTTAGGCTCCTCTTCAGTTTCCGTCTTGGTGCCATTGGTCTTCTCCTGCTTGTTCTCGTCCTTCTTCTTCTTATCAGCCTTCTTTTTCTTCGGCGACAACTTGATTTTGTTCACAAGGTACTTGACTTCTCGCTCAAGGTCTCTGATCTGAAATTATGATTCTTGATGACTTAAGAAAAAAGTTATGAACCTTCTCGGCGATTTCCATAACAGTCACAATGGGGTCTTCATTTTTGGCTTGTTTGACGTAGACTTCTTGCTTTTCTCTCCACCAATCTTCAGTCGTGTCGATCAGCTTACTGAGAACCTGAAACACATTGAATTCTTACGGTTATCTCTGAATAAAGTTCCTACTTCAATTTCAGTCAAAGTGAAGGTCGGGCTTTCCACCTCCACCTGAGTCAGGTTGAAAGCCATGGAATAGAAGGTTCTGGATCTATTGAAAGTGTCGTCAAGAGCTTCTACCACTTTTGGCATATCGAGGCGCTCTTTTTTGCGGTTGTCCGGTTTCTCAGTGAGAGTGTCCAGTTTCTTCTTGCGTTCAATGAACTCTTCCTTTTTAGTCTCGAAAGTCACGTCGTCTTCAAACCAAGTGCGAAGGACGGCGAGCTGGAAAATGTTTCGAATAAGTGAATTTTTTTAAGGGTTTTCAGCTTTTCTTGTGGTTGAGAGGCTTTCTTGGGTTTTTGAAGACACAGAGCTCGAGAAGAAATGCTTTAGTTTCAAGAATCAATGTTACTTTATAGAATGAAGAAAAAAAGTTTTCATTTTATTATTACTTATCTCCGCAGTAAAACTAGCACAAAAACAAGTTTAAAATCGAGGATTGTAATAATTTTTTCGAATTTTCAGAAATTCAAAGAAACTTCTTTTATAACAAAGAAATTTTCGGAAGAACAACCTTCTAGCTTTACATTTGTCCATTTAGGCTTGTTGCCACTAATAAAAAAGTATTTCATCTTTTTTTGAACAAGAAGCCATTTTAAAGTTTCCTGAAAGAGATAAAATAATTTCAGAAAATTGTTCGGTTTTTACTTGGTCATTTTCAAGAGTCTCGAGTGTTAACGTACTTCATCAAGAATGCTCTTTTTCTCCTCCTCAGTCACGAATTCGGCGTATTCCTCGCCTTCTTCAAGTTTCACAGCCAGGTCATAAATGAGTCCTTCCAGGGAATTCATGGCTTCTTCTCGGTCGTGTTTATCCTTCTCAGCCTTTTCAAAATCCGCCAATCTAAATCAAATTCAAATGTTATTTCGGTTCGAGTTGTGAATATCACGTTTTCTTGGCAGCTTCAATGTCTTCAATGGGAATGTCTTGGATGTCGACCCTTTTCGAGTTGACTTCCAAGTTGACCTGGAACATTTGAAAGTACAAGTTGAAGTTTTGGTGTATTTTCTACCTTGATGTTCTTGTTTTTTGGCTCAACCGGTTTGGTTCTCTTCTCTTTCTTCGTCTGTTTCTCTTCCTGAAAAAACAGATTTTACTGCAAAGGACCTTTTTTGAATACCTTTTCAGTTTCATTTTTTCCCGGCTTTTCCTCTTCAGTTTTGTTCTCGGCACCCAAGTTTTCTTCCTTATTCTCTCCATCGGTTTCTTCCTTCACTTTGTCCTCTTTCTTCTCTTTTTTGTTCTTTTTCTCCTCCTTCTCTTTTTTCTTGATTTCCTCCTGTTCCTTCTCCCATTCGTCAAACTCATTTTTCAGGGTCTCGTATGTTGATAGCTCTGTAAGCAATTTATCAAAAGTGGAATAGTGCGAAAATTTTTGAAAAACATAGTTGAAAAAGAAGAAAAATGAACCTTCAGCCGATGGTTTTCGTTCGACAACAACTGTCGACTTCGCGACAGAAACGATTCCAGAGTTATCAATCGCAAAACTGGTACGAACACCCTGAAAAGTAGTTTGTTAGTATTAGGAGTCGAAAAAAAAGCGTTGATAGCTAGAATTTACCAAAACCAATATGATCTATCGCGTTGTTTGTTTGATAAAGAATATAATGAACAACTGATTTTTCTCTTATTCTTACAAGGAGGGTCATTTTCTATCTAGGTTGTGAATCCCCTTAAAATTGGTCAAACGACTTCTTAATGTTGAAGATTAAGATTCTGAAAGTCTTCATCTGTACAATTTTTTTTTTTGAGAAATAGCAGCTCAAAGCTCAAAAAAGCCTGAGTTTACAGATTTTTGAGTTTTTTAAACTTTGAGGCGTCCTTTCTCAAAACTAGAAAAAAGTGCTGGTCGAGACTTTCAGTAACTTCAACTGGTACATCTAATTGTCTAACCTTGTACTCAGAGTTCTCATCGATAAGTTCCTTTTCCTTGGCCGCTTTCACTCCCCGAACTTCGATCAACGAAATGTCGCCACTGTTTCCAGTTACTCCCGCACCGTCACGAGAACCGTAAGAAACTCGAACCTAGAGGAAAATAATCGATAATACAATAATTTATCCGCTGAAAATACCTCAAAGTCGTCATCATAGGAGTTGAAATTGATAATCTTATTGGAAGTTGGGTAATAAGTTCCCTCGGCGAAAAGTGTACGAGCCGCTGGTTTCAGTGTTCCATCTTCAGTTTTTGTCAAAAAATTAACCTGAACATCATATTAAAAGTTTTTTCGTGGATTTGAGAATGAAACCTGGATTGGAGAAATGACAAGTTCGTGAACAGTCAAGGGAAGAACTTTGAAGGACTTGGAAAGGTGGGCGGCTTGGTAGACGGCTCCAAGGGCGATAGCTTCATCAGTGTTCAAAAAGTTGCCCAATTCCTGAAGTGCGATCTTTGACTATATTTATCCTCAGTTGTTCGAAAATATCCTTTTGTCCGGCTTATTTTCAATTGAATATGCTTGAAAATTGCAGGTGCAAATAAATGCAAATTTGACATATGCTCATTACATTTGAAATTTACTTCGAGGTCCCTGATTCTTATGTAGAGATTTTTGTCATAGAGCCATTTCATTAGATAAAATAACGTCTTTTTTTTCGAAATCATTTAAATTATCTGAAGTTTTGGCTGATGAGTTAAGAAAAAGCCCACCTTATCTCCGACAAACTCTTTGAGGATCTCTTTGACCTTAGGCACACGAGTTCCGGCTCCCATCAGTACTATCAAATCGATCTGAAACATTTTTTTTGTGAACAACTTTTTTTTAAACATGTGATTTTCCTTGGGGACTGACTGGAAATTTGACAATGAATACATTGCAAAGTTTTTTTTTTTTCTCTTTTTCCCCACTTTTGAACCATAATTTGAAATTGAAGATTCGTTTTAATTTTTTCCTTATGATCAATTTATGTCGTTTTGACAGCGAAACTCTCTTTTTCCATTCATATTCAGGAATCACAAATTTAAGGCTGAAGAACATGTCAAAAGAACAAACTTTTAGGCAAGTTTTATACAACTTAGAATCGGAAAAAATTTTTGCGAACGTTCATCAGAATTTCAGCTGTCCACTTGGAACCTGTACTTTGAAGAAATTACCTCAGAAATCTGTTTGTTGGCCATTTTGAGAGCATCCTTGATTGGCACCGCAACTCTTGGTTCGAGGTCAGTAATAAGACCTTCCAGCTCTTCTCGAGTAACCTGAATAACATTAGGATTATTCAAAAAAAAATCGTTTCGTTAGTTTTCACCTTGGCGCGGAAATTGTGCTCCTCATGAAGACCTTCAACTTGAGCGTAAGTGTCCTTATTCGCGGAGAGAACCTGAAGTTTGGAAATTTTGCTTTCATCTTAGTTTTAAATGAATGATACCTGTTTCACTCGTTCAGCTTCCTTGTGCAATTTTCCCATGCTACGAGCGTTTGTATTGATATCGGTTGTCGTTTTGACCGTGTTGCGGAATACCTGTTTTTTTATTTTCGATGATTTTGGGCGCAATTTCAAATTAAAGTCACCTTTTCGAGGTGGCCTCGAAGACGTGTAGTGATTTCAAGGCCTCCAAGAGTTTTGTCGAAACCAACTCCAATGGTTTTCACTGCAGGTTGCTTATCTTTTCCGTCTTTTCGAGTAGATTCCAGTACATATTCGACGATTGTGGCTGTTGTCTGAACAAAAAAATGAGTGAAAATCACTGAATTTTTCTTAAATTTTGGAGATAATCTTACGATTACGTCAAATCAAATTGATTTAATAAAAGGACAAGAAATTTCAAAAAAAAAGTTAAATATATGATGGGAAAAAAAATTTTGCACGCTTTTTTTAAAATTGATAACACGTTTTATTCATTTTGAAGCGAAGCATAATATCATTTTAACTTTCAAAAAAAGAACGCTACAGGCACAAGAAATTGACATTTCAACAAACTTAAGGCGAAATGAAATCGAAAAGCCAAACAGGCACATGTTTACGAACAGTTTACTGTTGAATTATTGATCACGCAAACGGCGGAAATCCGTCTTTGCAGTTTTTTGGATTTCTCAATTGGAGAAAGTTATTCAAATCTCATGCGTGTTTAGGACAAGGCCGCCAATTTCAGGAGACCTTTCAAAATTGGCGCCGATTCACAATGCGCCTTTGCGTGTAATCAACGAGTATGCAGACGCTGTTTCCTTTTCTTAGAAGAAAAACGGCAGATCAGCGCGCGTTACAACAATTTGAAGAGAGACTGGTAGAATTTTTAATACACAAAGAATGTACACGAATAGCAAAAAAGCGATAAAATAGTGTAAAACAACGGCGCAAAACGGTTCCTCAATAACGGGAATGGCGCACAAAAAAAACCGGAGTCTGCATACACTTCACCTCCATCAACCCGTACAAAACTTGTACAACATTTGGCTTTTACACTACGGCTGAGGCACTTTTTTTTCACAGCTGGGTTTTAGGGATTCGAAATAAACACAGCTTGCTCACTTTTTCTTCTTGAACTAATTTTTTCTAACCTGCTGAGAAGCCTGACTAACTCTAAAGTAGTTCAGTGAGACGTGGCCTAGCAAAACACGGTTCCTGTTTCAATTTTTCATTAAATAATGAACAAGTCATTTTTTTTTATTTCTCTTTTAAATTGTGCTTTTCAATTTTTTGTTCAAAACAATTTTCTTTTTCTATCCTTGAATCTCATCAATTTCCTCACTCTCCATTTTTTCAAAAATCAATAACTTCAACGAACTTTGAGCGCTCCCATGTCGTAAATGAGCATTGTCTGTGGAGTCTCCGTGATCTCCTTCCTTCGGAAAACGCCGTAATTCAAAGCCGCTGCTGATCCGTCATTGAGAAGCTGTACCATGATAGTTATTATTGGATTTCAGGTGAAATGAAAAATACCTGAAGCAAGTTCAAGCCAGCGATATCAGCAGCTGTAGCGATCGCCCGTCGTTCTGCCTGATTCAAGAAGATCGGGACGGTGATGACAACGTCCTGAGAAAAAAAAAGGTTTTTTTTTGACTTTTACTCATGAGAAATCCTCTGGAAAAAATCGTTGAATAGAATAAAACCTTGACAGATTGTCCAGCATGAGCTTCAGTAGTCTGCTTGGCTGACCACAGAATCATTGCAAGAAGAGTTTCCACGTTGTATTTCGTCTCCCTTCAAAGGAAAATTATTATTCTTAGAAACGCCAGAGTGGTCCCTATAGAAGTTTTGGAGACAAATCCTCAACAGGGGACGAAAAAGGGTCTTTTTTTCAGGTCGAAAGTGTAGAGGCTCCTTCAGGGACTTGGATTTAAATGCCAAAGCCTCTAAAACCCAAGTAGTCCTTATAAGGTCTTTTAGGCTTTTGTTCTGCTCTGGGAAATAAAAAAACATTTCTTTGATGATATTTTTTTCATTAAAGTAACTTTACTTCATCGAACCTTATCAAAAGGTAATGCTTCTTAGGGGATTCTTCGAAATAATCGAGTAGCATATCCATTATAAAAATTCATTTTACAAGCTTTAGTGACCCCTATAGGGAGAGGTACATTGGTTTTTAGAAGGAAGCCTGCAAAGGACCCTTACAGATTCATGTTTGGAGTTGAAAAAAACTGAACAGGTCAATGTATTTTCTTTTTTTAAAGTAAAAACTCACGAGTACGGAAAAAAACGACAGTTCCTCTAGTTTCATCGAATGTAAAGGAAGTGAAAGGAAAAAGCTTCCTGATACTTCGGAATGAACGGATCGCCGTCTTTTTTGGCGATGAGAGAAAGTAGGAACGAATAGGCAGATTTCGGGTGAGATGAGGCCTGAAAACCATAGTATAGGTTTAACTTTCCTTTTTTTGAGATGTTTCAAATAATGAAAAATCGTTTTAGAAATTGTTACTATACTTTTGCCGTTTCTCCAACCAGTCTTCTAAATTGGAGAAATTTGTTATATTTATTTTTACCTTTGAATTGTACATCTAGAAAAAGACTGAAAAGTTTGTTTTCGAGTAGAATCAGTTTTTGAGAAAATATTTCAACCAATTTTTCGAGGTTCACCTTCGTACAAGAGACCCGAATACTGCTATTCCCTTCACTTCCCTGTTTTTCAACAAAAAGGGTCATCAAAAAAGAAACACTGATAGGTAGTTCAACTTCAAGTAGTTAAACAACTTTTTCCAGTGTAGAGGAGGAGAGCCAGCTCGCGAGGAATACAACCGTCGTCGGCACCGGGAGAAAGCAGTTTTTACCAGCGATGACAGCGACGACGACCACGAAGTAGAAGACCTCTTCGAAGACTCGGACTACTTTCCAAAGCACGCCAAGTGCCGGGCTTCTGGGCTGTTGTGAAGGGCGAGACGAGGAAAAACAAGGCTGCGCACAACTCTAGTACGTTTTCATGGTTGCTTTTTTGGCAAGTGAACAGCAAACTCAGAAAATTTGTTCTTTCTTTTTCTTCCAATCCCTAGAATCGGCTATTCTTGAGAAAACACGGTTGTTTCATATGTAGAAAACACTGATCAAGGTCAAAAAGATCAATCAAGATTTATACTTGCCAACTAGAGTCTGCAAAAATAATCTTTCGACCAATCTTGTTGTCAACATTTCCATAAAAAGTCACTTGAAATATTAATTTTTTGCAGTTTGGCTCAATGAATACTAAAAATAGGACGTATCATTTTTGACAGATGTCTTAAAATGCTTTTAAAACTCTCAAAAGGCCATTATGAGACCGATGGTCAAATTTTTGATCTGTCAAAATTTTTGAAAGATCATTTCAAATACGAACACTTTTATTTGTCAGGAAACTTGAAAATTGCAGGCGAACGGAAACCACCGAGTGCATTCATGCGAATGGCACACTGATGATTTCTACCTAGAAAATCCAACCACTCTGCTCCTCCCGCAAAAGCTAACCTATGCGGTATCTTTTTAAGGCTCCGTACATTTTCAACTGCGTTTCAACTTACGTTGAACTAGATTTAATTTTTCTGGTTTCAGAGGCACGCTCCGAAATGGGACGTTTTGGCGGAAGACGAACAGAGAGAGGGAATAAAGACGCTGAAGCCGAAAACGAGGCGCTTTTCGAAACGAAAGAGGACGATTTTTTGATAAAAGTTGCTGACGTACTTGAAGAGAGCAGTTGAAGGTGAGTATTATAGTTAACCTGAACTCAACAAAAAAAAATAGGAAATTTAATCTATCAAACATTTCTTCACTGTAAAAAATATTTCAAAATTGTGTGCCAAAAACACGAATTTTATCGCCAGTAAAAGCTTTATTGAGACCTCGAAAGGTTAAAAAGTTTGAGTAAATCGAAATATGACTTCTGAACCTTTTTTTCGTGATGAAAAATAAATTATCTTTCTGAAAGGCACACAACTCGGAAATATTTTTTTCTCAGAGAAAAATTTTTTTTCGATGGATTAAATTTTTAAACTTTTGTTGAGTTCAGGGTAATTAAATTTTTGGATAACTGCGGAGCGAACCCAAATCCTTTTTATTTTGTGGCTCCGGCCCGAAGACGACTTAGGAATAGGTTTAACTGTCCTTTTTTTATATTTTTTTATTAATGAAAAACAATTTATGAAAAAAATTTTTTTTAGATAGTTTACTGTTTCACTTCATTAATATAAACAATCGGTGATTCATTTTTTATTACTCAAATTTTGATAAAAAATTTTTTTTAATATTTTTATGATAAATTTTCAAACAAGAAACCGGAATGTTTTTTTAGAGGAAGCAAAAAAACCTTTTTCCGTCAAATAATCAATCACAATAGTTGTTTTGAAATCAAAAAGAATTGGTGAAAAAAACAATTATGAAAAAAATTTTTCACATGATTTTTTTGGTAACCTGAAGCTCTTCATCATTTTTTTATCACAGAAGTTTCTATAAAGTTCCCAAAAATTGAAAAAAACATTATGTTATTTTTTTAATGTGAACAAACCATAGCCGCGGCCGCTTCAGCAAAAAATCTTTCATCTCCCTTGAATGCGATGACATTCGGCGTTTTTCTTCGCGATTCTTTGTTCAAAACGATATCCATAGGTACTCCCGGTTTCACGATTCCGATCTTGATAAATTGAGAACCAAGGTCGATTGACATGGCAGCGAGAGCAGCATCTGTAAACTTCCTATTTTCAAAAAAATTCTTTCAAAATGACAAGTGAAAGAATTTTTGGTCAATTGAAGCTGTGTTGTTTCAGCGAAATATACTTCCTTCCTAATTTCGTTATTTCCTTTAATAATTTTATCATTTTCATGTCAAAAAAACAAAAAGAACTATGATAACTTACATAACAAGGAAAGATAAATTGCGAAATAAATCATGTTTTGTTAGGCTTTCTAATTTTTCTTTCAGCGGCAAACCGCTGTTTTCGTGTGAGAAAATATTGATTTTTCCACAGTTTCTTTCAAAATGAGTAAGCCAAATGCATAATCAAAGTCCCTTCTAAATAGTTTGAACCAGTTCGTTGATTATTTTTCATTTAAAGGAGATGTTTCGAACAAGCGCCAAATAAAACTTTTTTTTTAAATAACCGGAAGCCAGTTCTTTGCTATTGTTAAAATTAACTCTTTATGTCGTTATAGTCTCATATAAATGCTAAATTGTTGTTTTCAGAAAGATAAAAGATGAGCGGGTTCATACCGAGCGACAAATGCCCGGATTTGTCGCAGGGAGCAGAAAACACATGGTATACTTTTGAATAAACTTTAAGAAACTGATTTTTTCGCAAGTTTTCCGTCTCAAATAGTCATGAAAATATTAAAGGTTTATAGTTCTTTTAACTTTGAATCATTCCTTTGCCTCCAAACGCAAAGATAGTTATTTTTTATGACCCTTTGACAGGCCAAAATTAATATTTTCAGGCTAATAAAAGATGAGCGGATTTAACAAGCCGTGGTTCCTTCGAATCGTTTGGGATTACTGGTAAGTTTTTTTTGCTAAATTCAGCTATAGTCAATGTTTCCCGACTTGAAAGGCGAGGGAGGCGGGGCAAGGGGCGGGACGCGTAGCGTGCGTTCGCGGTCCTTGGCACGTGTTCAATTCAACCGCCATCGACTCTTTGAAAAAGCCCGTTTTCTGCTCTTTTTCATACCTTTTTTTCAATTATTTATTGATTATATCCATGTTTGCATCAAAAAAATAGTAGAAAAACATTGAAAAAGAGCGGTTGCCGAGCTTTTTAAATAGTCGGCGACAATTGAATTGAACTCGTGCCAAGAACCGCGTACGCACACGCTACGCGTCCCGCCCCTTGCTCCGCCTCCCTCGCCTTTCAAGTCGGGAAACATTGACTATACTTTCTCGATTTCCTAACAAAAAAATATTATTTCTCCATCATACACAAAGACAATCCAAAAGTAATATTTTCAGGCTAACAAAATATGAGCGGGTTCAACACGCCGTCGTTGTCCCGCACTCTTTGGTGAGTCCCAAGATTTTTAAGATTTTCTTCATCAAAATTAGTCAGAACAAAAAATATTTTTTAGTGTTCTAATGCTAACTTCAGCTGATTTTTCAATTTCCTAACAAAAATTATTTCTCCATCATACACGAAGACAGGACAAAAAGTAATATTTTCAGGCTAACAAAATATGAGCGGGTTTAACACGCTGAGTTGTCCAGCATGTTTTGGTAAGTCCCGATTTTTTTGCGAGATTCTTCATCAAAATTAGCCGGAACAAAATATATTTTTTTAGTGTTCTAATGCTAATTCCAGTTGATTTCTCAATTTTCTAACTAAAAAAATATTAATTCATCATTGTACAAAGACAAGCCAAAAGTAATATTTTCAGGCTAACAAAATATGAGCGGATTTAACACGCCTTCGTTGTCCCGCACTCTTTGGTGAGTCCCAAGATTTTTAAGATTTTCTTCATCAAAATTAGTCAGAACGAAATATATTTTTTAGTGTTCTAATGCTAACTTCAGCTGATTTTTCAATTTCCTAACGAAAAAAATATTAATTCATCATTACACACGGAGACAGGTCAAAATTAAATATTTTCAGTCTACCTCAAGAAGAGCGGCTTCACTCTCAGCCCTCAATGAGTTCACCGGAAGGGACAAAAGTCGACTGGTATTTTTTTAAATTATTCTTATAAAACAAATTATTTTTTTCATCAGTTTTTCGGTCGAAAATGTTTAACAGAAAAAAATTAGGCTAACACTTTGAATTATTCTTATAAAACGAACTTATCTCAAACTTTCAATGCTCAAAAACGAAGTATTTCTCCGTTTTCCGACTCTGAAACAATTTTTTTCAGCATAAAAAAACACGCGTTTTTTTGCGAGAGTCGCAAAGAAGAAATCAAACTTCCAAATCATCTTTTATAAACCAATTTTTCTGGAAGGTACTTCACGAAAAAAATAGTTGAAAGAAGAGTTATTATTTCAAATACATTATGCGAAATTCTAATAGTTTCTCTGCCTTTTGGCTTATTTCTGACTTTGGATCTGGAATTTTCTCCAAAAAAATCAAAAAAAAAGAACTCACGTGTTTTTTGAACGAATATTCCCAGCAAAACCGCTGACAGCAGTGTTAACACAAGTGAGAGCCGCATTCTGAAATCCAAGTTATCGTAATATAACGAACTACAGAAAAAAAATGCAGATTGAAGAAAGAAAAAAAGAAGATAGAAACGTGAAAAAATGTCAACGTCAGTGCTTACGTCTCACTAAGTAAACCTACGACGGCGGATCGTGCCAGGACGCGATGCACACGGCGGCGCGAAAATGCAGACCGCTTAAAAACTCTATTCACACCAAATATTGTTTTATTTTATATAAGGTCGAAAAGATCAATGGAAAAAGAAAAACTGCTTTTTCAATATTTCCTGAATGATTGAAAGTACGCAATTCATTAAATTGTTTTAAATTTGAAAACATCTGAAAGCAATTCTTATTTTTTTGAAATTTCACGGTTTTTCTGGCTTCCTACGGTAATTGGAAAAACGCTCTAGTTCGAAATATTTACATTTCTTTTGAAAGTTATTTTCACTTTACTAAATTCAAATATAAATTAATTGACAAGGTGGTTGAATTTTTTTCAAATGAATTAAAACTTCGATGTTTCTCAATTAATTAATACCAAAAATCTTCTTCTAACTTATAATATTCTTTCAGGAAAAAGCTGGATTTCACTGGACTTTTTTTGAAGAATGGACTACGTCAACCGTTCAATCTCCCCTGAAGGATCCACTCGAAACCTTCAATCTTCAAGGTGGGATCGGGTTATCTTATCATCGCGAAGAGAGCCTTTTCTGCCAACTCGAATTGAAGGAACTTTATGAGAGATCAAATGTGAGACTTTGGATATGTTATTTTTCTATACAGCTTTGCGCATTTTTCTTTCTATAACAAAATGATCATTACAGGTGAAAACAAAGTTGGATTTTCTCGACGAAATGAGGACCTTCCTGACGTCGCCGATCGTCGACTTTTAAGGATCCATTCGACGCTTTCAACTCCAATCAGAATTTCGGAACATAGTTCGTACTTTTGATACTTTGACCATATTATATTGTACCATTGTTATTTCGAAGTCAAATTTTTTTAATCCAATTTTTTTGTATGATTATTTGATTCCCGGTCGGGCATTGTAAAAAGAAATTGTAAATGTACGTGAACTGCTACTTCCAAAGTTTCTTGTATTTAGTGATTTTCCATTGCTATTAAATATATTGTTTTTTATTTCATTTTGTTGTTGTTTATTATGAAAGATTGATCTAACAATTTTTTTAACAATTTTTTTAACAGTTCTCCAAAAACCAAAAATTATACTTTTCAGCCCTTTTTTTTCTCGTTGTAATTCATAGCTTTAAAAAAACAAAGACCATTCTCTCATCAATCGTGTCAAATCAGCTTTGAAACCTATTTTTTTGTAAGATAAATGTTTATTTTTTTATTTCCAAATGTGCTCTATTGTTTTTTTCATAGTGAAGGAAACGCCGTCACGATTTTATTGAAGCTTTTAGAAAGTAACAATCGATTTTGAGAAAATAAAACTGAAAAAGCAAAAAAGTCTCATCAACTGTAGAATACCGAGATTCTGATGAAATTGAGAAGTTCAGCGGCACATTTGGTCGGCAAAAACCGTTGATGCGTTGGAGTGAGAGAAATGAGGCAAGCGAATTGAATCTAAAGCAAGTGACAGAAAAAAAGCGAAATAAAAAAGCAAGTGAACGAAAAATGAAGCAATGCGAAAAAAAGCAAGGTAACTGAAAAAAACGGTTCAAAAAAGGCAAGGGAACAGAAATAAGCGAAGAAAGCAGGAAAACTGAACAAAATATTGAAAAAGCGATTGATAATAAATTCAAAACTAATGCGAGTAAGGCATGACCATTTCCCACATTTCATCTACTATTTCCTTATTGAAGGCTACAGCTGCCGCGTAAACTTTAGGGTCTCGCAACGCTCGTATGGCGAGCTGTCGAAGATCCTTCTGAAAAAAGAAAAAACCAACATGGAAATGAGATAATTTACTAAAAAAAAATCTTATCCTAATAGACCTCTTGACAAAGTTTTAAGCGGTCTGCTAAGTTTTCAGTTCTGAGAAGAGATATTTGATAATAAAAGAAAAAAGTTGGATAAATTACCAATAGCTTTTCCGATCTGTCGGGTTCAGCCTTACCATGATCTTGTTTTTGAGAAGTTCTGCTGCTACATCCTCCGGACGTTGGGTTCATCTGAAAATTGTTGCATATGTCTCTCAAAAATCAGTTAAAGGAAATTTTGCAGAATGGCTCAATTTTCATTTCTTATTGAGTAAAGGTTCTGAATAATTCTACTCAGTTCGGAAATTCCAAGTTTTTCCATGACACGGAATTCCATCAGAAGCGAAACATCAGAACAAAAGTTTGATCAAGTTTTTCTTCAAATTCCCTTTAATGACCGTCGTCATTAAAATATAATATTGTGATGATGAGGAAAAAATTGATTTAACAACTTGATAAGTTGGACGATTCAGATTATCCCGCTGTAAACTTACGGAGTGCATGGGTCTCGATGAATTTGCTGAACTGCGACTTCCCATCGGCCTTCCTTCGTCGCAATTTCTAAACGAGCTCCGACTGTTTGTCGAATAATTTCTTCCAGATTGGTCGAAATTGGCTCCGTGCTGAATTGACTCTGTTGGTTACTCTAGGAAAAAAAAGATTGAGAGTTGTAACATTTTACAGTAAGATTCAAAAAAAGAGAGGTTGGTCAAAACCGAGTACTAAGAACGGTTTAGTTTATCTCGCTGAAAACTTACTGCTAGCGTCTGTTGGAACGAGTTCGCCGAGTTGGGATTCCGAGGATCTCTCACTGATCGATCGTAATTGTCTTCGTACTGAATACTTTCGTTAACATTTGAAAAAAATTCAAAAAAATAGTTAGAAAAATAATCAAATTATTTTCATATTACTTATTCTACTATAAAAATATGAAATTGGCAAAAGTCCTTGAAGGTAACTTACTGCAGGATTCGACCATTTGGAAGAGCTACTTACGTCTTCTTTGTTGGAGTTCCAAGAATTTCTTGAAAACACGGCTTTTTGTAGTTTTCTGGGATGTCCCCACGACCTCTCGCTGCACTCTTTTCAGTTTCCTGAACAAAAAAAGCTTCGTATTGAACTCAAACTATTTATTAAATCTGACATTATTATCAAGTTTCCTATTGGGGAACGATTTCCATGCGTTCAATAAGCTTTTCGAAAATATATTAGATTTTTTTTTTCAAGTTTCGCTAACATTTCTGCAAAAGTCCTACAATCTTTCACAAAAACAACGGTGCTTTGAAAAGTTACATGAAATAGAAGAATTCAGAAATTCCAAAATGAAACTCACTGCAGGATTTGGCCATTTCGAAGAGTTTTCTTTGTTCGAGCGAACAGTCTCTGGATTGTGCGAATCCCTCTGCAAAGCGTCTCCGTCGCTGCCTTCATATTGGTTCTGCCGGAAGGATGAGTGGTTTTCAGAGTCGACACTGTGCTAAATTTACGCTTTTTATTACACTCTACATATTTAAGATGAAAAAAATTAAAGGGTTTCCAAGTACGGATCGATTGATTCACATTTTAACTTTTTGATTGATACTTTTTTTTAACTACTCTGTCATAAATGCCCTTGAGAAGAGGGAATACTGCTAGGAAAAACTAAAAGAAATATACAGATATTTCAAAAGGATCATTTTTCGGAAACTTACCGAAATTATCGGTTGGAAATACGTTGAGTTGCTCCTTTCCATGGATATTCCTCCGTCGTTATTTCTGTATGAGTTTTGACCGTTTGTCGAATTTCTTCCAGATCGGTCAACATCGGCTCCGTTCTGAATGCACTAGGTTAGTTATCTACAGAAAATTCAGAAAAAAAGAGGTTGGCCTGAGAAACTTTTCAAAAAACAAAAAAGAAAAGTTTTTCCAAACGGAATAATACAAACGGTTCGGGTTATAATAATTTCCTATTTTGCTTCATCTCTACTACCTCGAAACTTTCCGAACTCCTTAATCCAGTTCATCAGAAAATTTTTCATTAGATGCAATGTCAACTTCACTCCCTGTAAGGATCATCTCAGCCAATTTAGTTTACAATTTCTCTTTATAGTATGAACCAAACTATCTCGAACCATAAAATAGACCACTTAAAAAATTTGAGATTCTAGAAGGTAACTAACTTCGTGACGCGGTGTCGTATTGGACGAGTTCACTGTACTGTAATTTCTCGGATCTTTCACAGATTGGTCGCTCTGAATTCACTCTGTTCATTAAACTTCAGAAAAAGTTGGAATCTCACAAAAATTCTTTCACATTGCTGACTAGGGAGCATTTTGAACCCTTTTGAACATTTTTTTTGTAATATCGTTCTCTAGTCAGCCAAGATCAAATAAAATTATCTCAACATTCTTGGAAGTAACTTACTGCAGGATGCGGCCATTTGGAAGAGTTCTGTACGAGTTCTTTGTTGGAGTGAATAGTCTCTGGATTGCGTGAGACCTTCAGCGAAGCCTCTTCTTCTAGGTTTCCGACAGTTTTTTGCGGAAATTTCGAATAATTCCATTCACTGTCCTGAAGAAAAAAACTTCATATCGAACACACTACTGATGACATTTGATTAAATCTAAAATTACGATTTCCTCGGCGAGGACCACCGGTTTTCAATTCTCAGGAAGCTTTCAAATCAAACCTTTTTCAAATTTTTCGAATAACTTATCATGAATGTTTTTACACAATTTGAATATTGAGAAGGAGATAAAATAAACTTTATTTCAAACTGAATGATACAAACGGTTTGAATTATATCTCTGAAGACTTACTGATGAAGTCGGTGTGGACGTAGGGTAACCGGCTACGATAACCCCCTCGAATTCGTCTATGCTCTGAACTCACTACGTTGATTACATTTGTAAAATTCATAAAAAAAAACGTTGAGAGCTAAAAAAGTATACGTTTGGTGGTTTAAATAAAAATCTGACACATTTCCTAATGGTGACCGCTTTTCCACATATCTTCAGTAAACTTTGCACTGGAAAATTCTTCAATGTTTGCCAAATGACCTACTAAATTTCCTCATAAAATTTTAATAATATGTTCATTCACTGCTTATAACAAAAAATAAAAAGTTTGAATAATATAAGACAAAAGTGGAACCAGTAACAGGAATAAGTCCAATTTAACGAGTAGACACCGACCCTGGGAAAAACAGAAGACTAAGGTTGTGAAAAAAAATGGCGTTTAAAAATTATTTATACAAACGGTTCGAATTATATCACTGAAGACTTACTGATAGCGTCGAACTGGACGATCGGTTGAAACCGGGTTTTCTCTGAATTCACCACGTTGATAACTTTTGAAAATTCAGAAGAAAAAGTTTGGAGCCTCGAGAACATATTTTTTTATGTTATAAATAAAACTCAAACACATTTTTTTATGGCCACTGCTTTAGGGATCTATCCGAAAAATTTTGTTTAACATTTTATTTAAATACGCTACTGGGAATTTTCACATACTAGTAATAAAATGTGGTGGTGTTGAAAAAAGGAAAGTCAATTGAAACTGAAAAATACAGGATTGGTTCGTATTTCGCTGAAAACTTACTATTAACATTGGTTCAGACCATTTTTTTGCCATCGGTATTTCTTCGACGTTTTTTTCTGGCGGATCGTCCTCAGGTTGTTCAGAAACAATTTCGAGCTAAACTCAAAATATTGATAAATAAATTCAGGAAAAAAATTTGAAAGTTGAACACAGAAAAAAATTTGGAAGTATGAATCCGAGTTTTTTTCATACCCTTGGGAAGCTTTTTCCGCTCGGAATTTCTTTTTAAATTTTTTTGATATACCTCATAAAGATTGAGTATCAAAAATCAAAAAGAAGCAGAAAGTAATCTGAAAAATAATAATACAAGAAGAAATTTTTGTAAAAAGAAAAATGTCGGAAAGTAACTTGCAAAAAGCTCGGTTTCAAAAAAATTCATTTGAGAGAACCAGAGGCAAAAAAATTTTTTTCTGTGAACCTTCATTGATGGATCTTATGGAAAAACTATTTTAATGAATTCTTAAATATAACTTACTGGGAACTCGAGCCATTCGGGGGTGTTCACAAAGACTTCATTTCCGGCGTCAACAATCGCTGACTTGCGAGAATTTTCCGGAAAAACGTCTTCGCCATCTTTTTCATGTATCTTTTGGGCTGTCGGTTTATTTTCTTGAGTTTCCTGAAAAGAAGATTTTGTGGAGAACTCAAACAATTGGAAAAATTTGTCGATATCATACTCAAAAATCAACAAATTTCCCATCGGGTATTTATTTTTAAATTTTGATAAGCTTTTTGTTAGAACCTTCATTAATATTTTTTTGAGTACCTTAGAACAATTTTTTTCATGAAATTTAACGAATGAAAAGATACCAACGACTCGGATTTTTCGCAAAAAAACTCCCCGATAACGTCGGTTCTAACGAGTTCGCTGTACTCAAAATTCTCGGATCTCTCACAGATTGATCGCGCTAAATTGACTCTGTTGATTGCATCAGAAAATGTCAAATGAAATTTTGAATCTGAGCAAATAATACTCAATCAAGGGTGAAATGATTGAAAAATCCTCAAATTTTTGGAGGTAACTTACTGCGGGATGCAGCCGTTCGACCGAGATCGCTATGATTTCTTCGTCGGAAAGAAATTTCGTTGGACGGCTCTCGACCCTCCAAACTTCGTCTTCTCCGTAGTTTCCAGAGGTGTTTCGTAAGGCTGTCGAGTAATTTTTCCCAGTTCCCTTAATAAGATTTCGGTTTGAACTTCCACTAATGATTATATCTGAACGAGTCATATAATCTGTGTACCACAACTTGGGAAAACATTCCTCTGTTACGCTGCGTGCCTTTGCGTGCCTTTAATTTTTCATTTTATTTAAGAAATCGACCAACACGTGTTCCTAGTAAAACAGTCCATCTATCAGAAATGAGAACCGATTCAAAGCGAGACCGAGGCTCGCCAAGACGCTTCGCGACGCAGCGTAACAGCGGAATGTCGTTCGGTGAAATTTCAAGTCGTGGTACACAGACAATAATTCAACAAATTTTTCCGATGAAACCTTCTCCGATGTTTTTCAGAATAGGAATGTCCTGAAGCAATGATACTACTGATGTCGTATAGTCAAATTTTCCCGATTTGAAAGGCGAGGGAGGCAGAAAAATGTGCGTAGCGTGTCCGTTTGCGGTTCTTGGCGCGAGTTTCAATTCATTTTTTTTTATTCAGAAAGTTCGTTCATCGCTCTTTTCATTTCTTTTTTATTTCTTTATTGGTTATTTTTTTCATTTGTGCATTAAGAAGTCGTAAACCAGATTCAAAAAAAAACGGTGACCGAGCTTTTTAAATAGTCACTGACAGTTGAACTGAATTCGTGCCAAGAACCGCGAACGCACACGCTACGCGTATCGCTCACTTCTCTGCCTCCCTTGCCTCTCAAGCCACGAAAAATTGACTATAGTGAAAAAAGATTAATAATACGAATTGTTGGAATCATATCGCTGAAGACTTACTGATGACGAAGGATTAGACGGATTCGCTGAAATGCACCTTCGCGAATCTTTCTCGAACCGGTCGGAATCGGCCTTGTTCTGAATCCACCCTTTTATATCTTTTGATAGCTTAAAAGAAGAAATGTGTGGTGCACACAAAAACTTCGTACTACTCTGGTCAGTATGGTTTATGAAAATCCCAAGATTCTTATAAGAAAACTCACTGCAGGATGCGGCCATTTGGACGAGTTCCCCCAGACTTTATTGCGGCAGTCAACAGTCGATGCGTTGCGCGTGACTTTTTGAGAAGCCTCTTCTCCGTGGTTTCCAAAGTTGTTCTCTCGAGGTGTCGAGTAACTTCTTTCGATTCTTTCAGAATTGACGCTGCGCTAAATTCACATCACTGATTACATTTGATTGACTCCGGATCGAGATTTAACTTAGGCTACGAAGTCGTTGAATGAAACTTACTGGAGGATTTGGCCACTTTGAAGTTTTTGCCATGACTTCATTGCCAGAGATCGCTTCATCCCGAACATTCCTCTGATAAGCGTCTCCTTCGTAGTTTCCAAAGGGTTTTTGTTGTGATGAGGTAGAATTTCTGTCGAAGTTTTGAGAACCATCGTGCTGAATTTCCTCTATTGATATAATTTCGTAAATTCAGAAAATAGTAGAAATAAATGGTAGTGCTAATTGAATGCTAGCAAAATCTCAAACGGCTTTTCCCGCGTAATTAGGAAATTTTGCCATCAGAAGATCCTGAGAGAATATAAAAAACTATTGAAATGAAGTTCCATTTTTTATGATTAATTGTTTACAGCCGTTTATTTTAAAATTCATAATGAAAATTCTGAAAAGCTAAGTTTATAAGCTTTGATGAAAAAGTTTCGATGTTTTCAAAACCACTCAAACTAGGTTCAAAATCGAAATTCCGTGATTTGTAGAGTTAACTCACTGCAGGATATGGCGATCTCGACGAGTTCATGACGGTTACATTGTCGCGGTGAGCACTTTCTGAACTGCGAGAGTTCCTCTGGAACGTATTCTCTTTGTAGTTTCCAGAGGTACTCCGTCGAAATGTCGAGAAATTTCTTCCGGAGTTCTCGGAACCGCCATCGCGCTGAACTCATACTACTGATCGAACTTAAAGATTCAAAAAAGCAAAATAGACAAAAATTTTGTTGTTAAGAATCAGAAATCAACGAAAAATCTAAAGGCGAACGTCTTCTTGCATCGTGAAAATGTTTTTCGAAGTATCGTTTTAAACTATATTTTGTGACAAGTTTTCTGATGCTTTATAAAACTTCCGAAGCAAATTTGGTGTTATTTTTTTCGAATTATTATCAATAACGGAAATTATTCTATACAAGGAAATATTCGAGAAAAGAACAAACATTTTCAATCCGTCTTATCACTTTTTGTTGGCACGAAAACCGTGGAGTACCTATCGCGAGGGTTTGTGGTAACCTGAAAAGGAAACTTGAAACAAAACCCACTTTTTGAATAAACGAACCGTGAATTCAAACTCTAAAAGAGCGTCACGCTCGTAATCGATTATGTTCCAAAGATCGACGAAGAATCCTGTAACAAAAATAATTAAACATTTCGATCAATTGAACTCACCAAAAGTTGCATCCCAAAGCAACGTTTTTTTCCCAGATTCCCCGAGGCGATCGACTTTCGCGACTGTTCTCAGCTGAAACGGAGGGAAAACGTTATTCATGTTATGTGAATCACGTTCACGAAAAAAAAAACTGACAAGAAGCTTTGGATTTGTGCTTATAACTTCAGCTAACGGGGCGGTAAGCTCCAGATTCTCCACTGTGTATTTAGCGCGATAGTTTACCGGTACATTCCTGTTTGCCCTGCAATAAGAAATCTGAATGAAACACTCCTGGAAAAAAACCGTTCACCTGTATCTCACGCGTAGGAAATCCCCTTTTCGGAGATTTGGACATCTGATCGATTTTTCAAGAAGCGCGGTAACGTCTTTTGCCAGAATCACCACAAAGACATAGCCTGTGTCTTTCTCGATGTTCGAGACTATTCCATAATCCCAATTGAGATTTTCCTTCAAAAACTGATGAAACAATAGAAAATAAGATTTCAAACCTTTGAACGATTGTGATTATAAGAAGGCATGGATATTCATCCAAAAACATGTGGTCAACCTTAAAAATGTATATGATAGAAAAGTAGAGAATCTCAAGTCGTTCGAAGCAAGAATTAACGAAGAAGCGGTACGTAAAAAAATTAAAAATAAACAACGAAATAAATTTCCGTATGCCTGAGCAAAAACGTTCAACTGATCTTTAAGGGCGATTGAAAGAAGGTTATAATGGGAATTCTTACAAAAACTTACTAGAGGCTCTATCAAAAACGAATATTTCAACAATCTTGGTTTAAAAAACCCTTCTGGCTCAAGGAAGCGTGTCGGTTACCGACTTTTCTTTCAAAATGGTTACCAAAATGGACCCGCGGAAGAGCTTCTGTTGAAAAAACGAAAAAAACTACAAAAAAAAAGATGAGCGCAGGTTTTATAAAACGATTCAAAATAATTTGACTTTCGAATGGAAAAACCTTCTGGACAGTTTTCCCACGAAATAAAATTCAAAAAAACACTACCCTTTTTAATTAAAGAACTATTATAAAAACAGATTTACTTTTCACGCTGACGCCACAAAAAGATTTCAGAAAGGGGAATGTAGAACAACATAAACTAAAAAGGTGAGTGAAAATCAAAAACATATCAATGTTCTAATAGGTAGGTCACTTAAAAAGTCACCGGTTTTGTTCGTGAGCCTCACTAAAGCGTGGCCAAGACGCGTTCGTGGGGATCAAAAAAAAAAAACAGGCGGTCTGGTCGGAGCAGGCCGCCCGGAGTATCGATCAGACATTGGTACAATCGAGCGGGGAGTAATGGATTTCTTATCAATCCTTGCTCCGAAATCCAAAAAAACTTCGGCTAAAAGTACTGTAAGCTTTTCGTGTGAGAGCACAGCAAGCGCTCTACCCTACGCGCAAAAAAATTAAATTTTTTTAAATTTTTTTAAAAAAATTTTTAAATAATTTGATTTATCGGGATTATGCGCCCTGAGATGAGAAAAGAAAAAAACATAATTGTCTACAAAAATTAAGTTCCAATAAATTAAAAAAAGGATATCTAAAAAAACGACTAAAAATTGGACTCACTTGAAACAGCTGTAATTCGCTTATTTCTGATAAAAAGTTCCGTTTTTTTGTCCTTCTCTCTCACCACGCTTTCTTATTTGATTAAAATATCATCTCCCTTTGCTTATTTCTTATTTTTCCCTCAGTTTTGTCGTGTTTGTTTTTACTTTTTCAATGAGAATTGCGCCACGATTTAACTAAAAAACGTTTTTACACTTTTTATAAATTAATGTGGTGTGATGCAACTCTCAAAAAAGCCCATCAAGGATTGATTTATGAGAATCACGAGCTGCTACGCGTTAAATTATAGTAGTTCCAACTAAATCCGTCCTTTACGCCGCAAAAAGATTGATATTATTCCTTTTGAGCAAAATAATAAAATTGAGGCCTCTTTATTGGATTTGGTTGTTTGAATCAAAAGAACCTACATTCACCTGTCCATTCTTCAAAAAAAGTCAAAAACTCGGTTTTCAAATCAAATTGTCATTGTGCTCGCGAAAATTTTTTCATTAAAAAAGTTCATTTTTCAGAAAGCCGAGATGAACTGGTCACCTATGAAAAATCTGCCAGCATCGACCGGTCGACCACGCGTCCAACAAGACGTCTTGAGGTATTTATTCAAGTTTCCTTTTTTTGGCAAAAATTCAATTTTTTTATCATCAAGATACGAACTTCTCGCTTGGCCTAGAATTGCTCAACAAGCCGGCATGCTCACTCCCGGAAAGACGTCAAGAAGTTTCCGGGTATTAACTGTAATTACTTCTTAAAAAGGACTTTTCAACCATTTTCAGGCCACGTATAGTTGTCTTTTTGCCTTTTTTTTCTGTAATTCATTTTTCAAAAGTAAGTTCCTCACTCTTACTTGCGAAATTGAACTTTTTGCTCATAAGCTCTCGAAGTTTTATTTTTTAGATTCTGTTTGTTTTTGGTTTGAAAAGTGATATAACTTGGTCCGTATCGCCAATTTCAAGAAGAAAGACGTCTTTTGGAATTCAGCGGAAAATGCTGAGTAAGAAGTTGTTTTACGAAAAAAAGACGAAAATTGAGTATTTTTTACTTTTTCTGAAAAGAGTCGTTCAACCAGTTTGACTAGGGGTAAGAAGTTGACCTGATTCTTTATTTTTGGGGATTCTAAGCCAAATACATGATTTTTACACCTATTTATGCTCTAGGGAGGCTCAAATTTCTTTAAAAAAACAAAAAAATAAAAAGTTTAATTTTTCTAAAAAAGGTGGCCAGGTTAGTCTTGAAGACGCACTATTGGTGCAAAAAAATATTAAACTTTTTTTAAATTATTTTTTTCAGAGAGGAATTCGCAAATCTGATTAAACGTTTCAGGAACTCAGCTTGTATGCGAATGACACGAGCCTGTCTTCTCAATCAAAATGTTCCTCTGGACAAAGTCATTGGAAAATCAACGATTCCAGGTGAATGGAGATTATAAGTATTGGAGTTGATATTATTTCCAGTGAACGACTTGCAACGAAAATAAAAACCATTCAGGTACTACGTCATGGATTCTGATCATAACGTTGGTCCGAGTTTTGTGAGCAACATTCACTTTTTTTTCTCTTTCGTCTCTTTTTTCAAGTTGTTTCCACAGAAAAATAAAAAAGAAATAAACTCCACTGTTCATTTTTATTCATTTCGACATGTTTACTTTGTAATAAATATTTATTGGATCCCAAATTTTCTCATTTTTAAATATCATTTCAACGATGAATAAACTATCATCAAAATCAAATCAGCTCCTCTAGGTTTCACAAGTTTGCCGCTTCTTGAAAACTTTCTGGATAAGACTTTTCACAGAACAAAAGGTACGCAAAGTCTCTTTTTCAAGGATAGAGTGAAAGGTTGCATTCGGCAGCGTCCGTCGTCAGATTGGCGAGCTTATGGCGGCTCGTCACGCTGGGTTGACCTCTTCTTAGTCCCAGAGTGTTTCGGTTGTTAGCATCGGGTAAGCGTCTGGTGGCGGTCTGGCGATGCTCCTGTGATGGTCTGGCGATGATCTGGCGCTCGACGCTCTTTCGCTGCTCGCCTGCGCGATCGACCTGTCAGGTCGATAATCTCTACATTTCTGATAGATTTTGAATGGATTCCTACAATGTCGGTCTGCTACTTCTTTGGCTTCCGGTCTTGTCCAGTGAAGTCCAAGTGATCACTTACTCAGTAAAGGTATTTCTTCGCGAACTTTCAACCGAAAAAAAAATTCCAACTCCATCTTTCCGTCTTGTCGTTCAACCATTTTGAGACTGAAGATTCCAAAACGGTCATTTGAAGCTTCAAGAAGGAAAACAGCCGCTTGCGAATAAGATTTAAGAAATTTACAGTTTTCACTCAAGAAAAATGATTCTTCGAGGCTTTTTTGAACTTCAAACAGTTTAGCCAACAATTGGAACTTCTTCATCACCTTGTTTTAAAGGTCAACGACTTTGATGGAGGTGTCGATGAACCGTCATTGCAAAAAATAACGCCTCTGTGACACTTCTACACCGACAAAAGAACCAAATGTGAGATTTTGATTTTTTTTTTTCGCACCTGATTTTGAATTGCTTCACATCAACTGGAAATGATAATTTCAGGTGAAGGATGTGCTAGATTTTATCAATAAGTTTAAAAAAAGAAATCGCCGATTCTACAATGCAAAGAGCTCTGAGAGTTTTGCTATAACAATTTAAAGTAAGCCTGCATTTAACTCGTGTAGTGCAAAAAAATCGAATATCAGTGTTTTATGATTTTATTTGAGAAGAAAGTTTAAAATTTTCTTTAAAAAAATCAACTGAGATGCTTCATTCTTGATTTTTCAAGTACACATATTGTATTTAAGCACAATAGAAGCAACTTTTCGAAAAATTCTTTCGTGAACTGGAAATGATTTCAAAAAGTTTTTATGAAAAATACACAGTTCTGTTTGTACTTTGCGATAGCCAGTAGCCACTATCATGGACCGAAATCATAACTGGAGGTTCGAAAAATATACAATTTTCTGCTGAACTCGAAAGATTTGAACTTTTAAGGAATTCGGCTACTTCAACGTCAACATGAGAATATGCCGAATCATTTTTTAAGAAAGGAGCATCATCAGTTTCCCGCATCACACTGTGATTTTTATTAGGTGAGTAGCAAATCGTAAAAATGAAATTTTCGTTTATTTTAAGAGTGGAAATATCGTTACGATTCATTATCCTGCTTCGAAAATGGCTGAAAGCATCTGGAACTCGCGTTGTAAAGTTAGCAAAGAAAAAACGCGATTTTCAGACATCTATATGAAGGTTTGTGTCAGAATGAAATTATTTCTGATTTTATAAGTTTGATTCAGAATTTAAATGAATGAAGAGACCAATTTCGATCTCTTCGAATCTTTGTGAAGAAATGCTGTGTTGATAGCTTGTTAATCAAATGAGGTATGTAGGAACTTTTTTTGATAGATTAAAAATTTGTATCTTTTTACTTTTATTTTTTTCACAAATCTGCTTTTGAAGAAAAATCAAAGATTTGCATAACTCATACGGAGGCCATCAGTCTTTCACACGTGCTGAATCATTGGAGGTTTGTTATCTAGAAAAGATTTCGCCTGACTAAAATGAAAAAGAAAAAAAGACAGAAAAAAATATGTAAACATTTCTCATTTAGTCATTCATTCTTGATAAAGTTGAAGCCGCATAAAACTGTTTTTTTTCCAGGTTTAGAATGAGATTCAGCCTTTTTTATATCTGTATAATAATTATTAATTTTCAGAACCACGTCGCTGCCCTGATTGGCAAGTGCTCGTAAAGAAATCGGTAATCCACAAGGTTTCAACAAAAAAGACGAAATGTAAGAAGATCTCTTTTAAATTTTTCTTTAAACTGCAAATGATTTCAGGCTTTTAAAAATTGGGGTAACCTTAGAAGTCCTGAATTTTGTCAAAATAACCTGAAAAAAGCCTCTGAATAAGGTAAGTCTGCGATATTTTTTCCCATTTTGATTCTTAGCCTTCTAAATTCAAATTCCGATTCAATTTCCTTTTTCAGAAATGTACTGGTTTGAATGAAATCAGCATAGCGGCTGAGACAGGTCTTAAGGATTCAAGAAAGCCTCATTTGGAGAAAGAATCCGGATGAGAGTACTTCTTGGTGAATCAATAATCGTTTTATCAAGTTTTTATGATCTTTATAGGTTCTTGCGACTGCGGAAAATCTCGTATCTGAAGAGATTCGATGCAAATCCGACGGCCCTTTCGAGGCATTTCAACAAATAAAAAAGCATGTTAGCGTTCAATTTTCACAACGATTCATCAAAATTTTGTGAAAAGTACACCAAAGAAAGTTTTTCTTTCATTTTCAAGTGTGGAAACCACGTGGTGAAAGGGTAATTTTTTCTGAACTTTTTGTTTTACAGTGAACAAAATGCAATATAAGGATTCAGCCATGAACAAAATCGAACTTCTCCAAATTTTATGCGAAGGGCACCATTTTCAACGTATGGCGAAGGTTCGAAGGTTAGTATTATTGGAAATATTCTCTCATTTCAATAGAACTTAATGTCTCTACGGAATGCTCCAATTGAGCTCACATCAAATTGAATTTTTTTTTCAGATTTAAAAAGCTCTGAACATCTGTGAAGCGGGCTCCCACGTTTCCGACGGAATGGTTTCTGTGAAAAAATGGATTCCATCTCTATAAAATAAAGTTCGTGTTTTTTTCCGATCATAGGAATATCAAGTTTTTTTTTAGCCGCCCACCTGCAGAAAAGCGCCAAATTTTATGAGGTTAAGGAGAAATCATCAAAGTTACTTTTCAAAATATCGCTTTTGTGAATTTTATTCGTATTCCTTTAAAACCCAGTAGTGAGCTTTTGAGTTGAAATTCATGGATTATTATTCGCTACGAAGGAAAAAGAGTTATCAAAAATATAAATATATTCATTTCTGAATTTTCTCAATTTCAGAGAAACTGGCAATATGTGGTTCAAGAGCCGTCCCACGGTTGTTTCAAGAAAGACGAGCCCTTTGCGACTTCAAAATATCATCACCTACTCTACGCCATGCTACTTTTCTACAAGGTATGTCCATCTAATAAATTTCTTTTCAATAAATTGATATCTAGTTTTACAGCGAACCGTTCAATCAGTCGGCTTGCCCGCCTCCAGGAGGAGCGCACTCCGGTTTTATCGACGACATGCTTTTCGTGAACTTGAGTTCTCTGCTCTACACGGTCATCAATAGTATGTAAGAGAAATAAATCACATTTACAAATCAATATTTTCTTGGGTTCTGAACGGCAGAAGATCAACTTCAGTAATTGTGCGGTGCAGAAAAGAATGTTAATAACGAAGAAAAAGGTTTTGTTACTTTGAAAATAATTTAAATTCAGTTTTTGTTGCAGATTCTGAGGACCTTTTCATTTTTCCCCTAACGACATCGTGGAATTCTAGTTGATGCGAAACTTTTTATTCAATATGTTGTTATTATATATTTCTTTTTGTTATAACTTTTGTTTTCTTCTGTCGTTAATGAAGTATTTCATTGAATTGTCCAGTAATTATCTTTGTTAGAGTTCGTTCTCTAAATTTATACTTCTCAAAAAAATCTTCGTTTTTTTGGTTGAAGATATGAAGAGTTAACGATTAATATTCATGACTGCAGGACATCGCCCAAGAATGTTTTCAAAAAGAAAAAGATATCTTTTCTACGGGCCAGCTCGTCCACAAACCCAACGAAAAGGTATGCATCCAAGTTTCTCTTTTAAAGCATATTTTTCCGTAGGTTGCAACCAAGTTTCTGCTCGAAAATTTGCACATCGAAATTTTATTTTTGATGAAGGCTTTCTTTTTTCATACGCTGCATGATTTGGAGTTCTTGAATACAAAATTTTTATTGTTGCAGTGAAAAGGAAAACGAGCTTGTTCAAAAACGCGGTTTCAAGCAGGCGATTCGCTCACCTCCCGAGAGACGTCGGCCTTCGTGAGGTAAGCATTCAAATTAGTTCTTGAAAACTGCTTTTCAAAAAATATTTGGCTTATTAATCAGCGCAAATTTTGTTTAGATCTGTCTTAAGAAGTAAAATTTAGTCATCAGCTCTCGAGAAAAATTGAGGTGCATCTATTTTCAGATGAAAGATCAAGGGCGACAAAAAGGCGACAAAAAAGGAAATCAAACGGATTTTCACTCCGCGGGCCGGTCAGCTTAACGACGACCACTTCAAAAAAAACAGCAACATGTAAGAACGATATTTTCAAAACTGTTTTTCGCAAATTTCTTTGATGTCGGATTCCTATTTCAAGGTTTCCTTGACAAATCTGCTACAGAAAAGCTTAGCGAATGCTTAGTCAAGGCTGTAAAAAAATATTAATAAGATAAACAAAAAAATTGTATTTTGCATGATCAGGGAAGGATTACAGGGTTCTGCCAAGGAAAAAAATCGATCTTCTGCATATTTTGAGCAAAGGACATTTTTTTCCAACGCATGTTGAAGCCCCTACCGAAGGTTTGTATCACATAGATTATTTTCTTATTTCTGAATATCGAACGTTTTTTCTCTATCGAGATATTAGTTGAGCTAGCATCTGATAAAATCATGTTTTCAAGTTACAAAAATCTCCCCTTATAGCGGGCTCCGATGTTTTCGACGACACCGCTCTTGTGAACGAAGTGGATTCTGCTGACCCTATTCGAGAGCCTCTTCATGGAATAAGGTTTGTGAAAATTTTTTCTGATCATAAAAATATCAAGTTTTTCCAGGGCTCAGTGAGAAGTGAGGAATAATAGCGGGCCGGTCCTTCCAAACAGCCGGCTCGCCCACATGCCGAAAGACGTCGAACTTCCCGAGGTAATTAGTTATTTTTCCGATCATAGGAATATCAAGTTTTTCCAGGGGTGCGTGAGAATGGTTGAATAATCGCGGCCGGAATCTCCCAAACAACCGGCTCGCCCACATGCCGAAAGGCGTCGAACTTCCCGAGGTAATTAGTTATTTTTTCTGATCATAAAGTATTAAGTTTTTCCAGGGGTGCGTGAGAAGCGTCGAATAATACCGGGCCGAATCGCCGGCTCGCCCACACGCCGAAAGGCGTCGAACCTCCAGAGGTAATTAGTTATTTTTTCCGATCATATGAATATCAAGTTTTCCAGGGCTGAGTGAGAAATGTGGAATAATAGCGGGCCGGAACTTCCGAACATCCGGCTCGCCCACACGCCGAAAGACGTCGAACTTCCCGAGGTAATTAGTTATTTTTCCGATCATAGGAATATCAAGTTTTTCCAGGGGTGCGTGAGAATGGTTGAATAATCGCGGCCGGAATCTCCCAAACAACCGGCTCGCCCACATGCCGAAAGGCGTCGAACTTCCCGAGGTAATTAGTTATTTTTTCTGATCCTAAAGTATTAAGTTTTTCCAGGGGTGCGTGAGAAGCGTCGAATAATACCGGGCCGAATCGCCGGCTCGCCCACACGCCGAAAGGCGTCGAACCTCCCGAGGTAATTAGTTATTTTTCCGATCATAGGAATATCAAGTTTTTCCAGGGGTGCGTGAGAATGGTTGAATAATCGCGGCCGGAATCTCCCAAACAACCGGCTCGCCCACATGCCGAAAGGCGTCGAACTTCCCGAGGTAATTAGTTATTTTTTCTGATCATAAAAATATCAAGTTTTTCCAGGGCTCAGTGAGAAGTGAGGAATAATAGCGGGCCGGTCCTTCCAAACAGCCGGCTCGCCCACACGCCGAAAGGCGTCGAACTTCCCGAGGTAATTAGTTATTTTTCCGATCATAGGAATATCAAGTTTTTCCAGGGGTGCGTGAGAATGGTTGAATAATCGCGGCCGGAATCTCCCAAACAACCGGCTCGCCCACATGCCGAAAGGCGTCGAACTTCCCGAGGTAATTAGTTATTTTTTCTGATCCTAAAGTATTAAGTTTTTCCAGGGGTGCGTGAGAAGCGTCGAATAATACCGGGCCGAATCGCCGGCTCGCCCACACGCCGAAAGGCGTCGAACCTCCCGAGGTAATTAGTTATTTTTCCGGTCGTAGAAATATCAAGTTTTTCCAGGGGTTCGTGAGAACCGTTGAATAATACCGGGCCGAATCGCCGGCTCGCCCACACGCCGAAAGGCGTCGAACTTCCCGAGGTAACTAGTTAGATTCTCGCAACTACGAAAACTCTCTTATCTGAAGTAGACATATAAAAGCATCTGCTAATATGAAAATATAAAAATACCAAGGTTTTCCAGGGTTTAGTGAAAGGTGTCGAATAATACGATGCCTGGATTATCCAGTTTGCCAGCTTTCCCAACTGCAGAAAGAGGTCAATCTTGGTGAGGTATCGATTCTAATTTTTTTCTCGTTCAGGTTAACTTTTTAAACCGGTTTTTTCAACTATAATTTTTGAAAATAAGAAAAAACGTCTATTATTTTTACGGAAACTCAAAATAAACCCTTTCAGGCGTATGGCTTGTTCGAGAGCCGTGAAAAAGGCGGAAATCATACATATTTCCGTTTAGCGGCCCCTGATCGGCCCAAGTTCGACGCACGTTACAACAAAGCAGACGGCAGGTAAGAAATTCCGGTTTGATTTCTGTCTCATCGCTACCATTTTAAATGATATTTGACCACTTAACGTAAATTAATGTTCCTTTCATTGAAATTTTATGTTTGTTTCCAGGTTCTCGTCTCAGCGGACTATCTGGAACCTGCAAAAAATTTTTCATTCTTGGCCACCAAGAAATGCCAATTAGATGCACCATTTGAGGCTTTACAACAAAGACCGCCGCTGATCACTCGAAATTGACAAAATGAAAGCAGGTTTCTGTGAAAGACTTTTCTAAAAAATTAACTTGATTTTTCCTAACTTGTTCTAATTCAACGCTTTCTCAAAAACTTAATCTTTATAGACGTGAAACGAGCCGGCAAAAAGCAGTTCTTTTTTTGAAAAATCAAATATATTTCTTTCAGGAACGTAGTTTGACAAATTGGTTGTGCGGGTGGAACAAATTTCTCCAAATAAAAAGTGCCTCGGTTGGAGCCGTAATGAGAGGATTCCATGGTAAATCTACATTTATTTCATCGTCATTTTATGTTGTTTTGCAGGTTTTTTCTCAACAGGGGCGTTTCTGGCATATACGCGGAATTCCGCCTCGATGGCCGACTCGTCCAACAAGAAGCTCTTACGGAGTCAATGCGATGCCCACCGCGGCTTTCAGCGTGTTCAACAACATCCAACAAAGATGACGACATGTAAGTAAGAACTTCAACATTATTTTGTGAAACTTTTTTCCCAACTGAAACAATTTCAGGCTTTTGCTGAAACGCTTCGATAGGAGGAATCTCGCACCCCGAAAGGCGTCGAAGTTCACGAGGTAACCATCTAAGTTATTTTTTTCAGAAATTCTTTTTCGAAAATTTCAAAGTCCGCGAATCATTCGGTCTGAGGGCTGTTTTTTTTCAAACTTTTTTTTTAGTGGTATAAACTAGTTTAAAAATTGTGTACATCTTTTTTCAAATATTTATTAAAAAAAACAAAGAACGGGCATAATTTTTTTTCTTTTTTTTTGAAGGAGGCTTCTTCAGAAGCGACAAATGTGGGAATTATACGGATTCCCCCTCCGCTGGCCCGGTCGTCAATTCAACAAAAGAAATCTACAAGTAAGAATGATATTTTCAAGAGAGAATTTCAATGTTAATTTACAGTTTTGAGCTCTCTGGATATGGATACGGAATATTGTCGCCTGGACGGCCAAAGAAGTCGATAACTCCTCCGACAGCAAGATTGACAAGGGATACTTCAAACATGTTTTTTTAGGTTAGCAACTTCTACTTTACTAAGAGTTAATATTAGTTTCAGATGAGAGCATTTTTTGAGAAGCATTCTGACGACGTCGATCGTCAACTCTCCACTCTCCTCAATTTTAACTTTACAACTTTATAATTTTTTCGATTGTCATCAAAGCCCTTTTTGGGTCGTTGAGTTATTCCGATCCTACCAAATTTTATTTTCCTGGTGAAGCTTTCCATTCAGTAATTTAGGTACAATTACAATTGAGTAAAACCTTGTAGTAAACGACATGTTTTGCACTCTCTCACGTCATTTACATATTGCACTATTTTGCACTCTCTCACGCCGTTCACAGAAAAAAAAGTTAAAATTTTTGTAAAACGTCTAACTTGTAACATGCTCTATTCCGATTTCGAATCGTTGTTTCCTTCTCCTCTTTCTCTTATTTTGATTCAATTTTTTGAAGTGAATAAATTGACATCTATTTCGAACTACCACCTGATTTTCAAAAAAAAAAACTTTGCTTTTTTATGCTTCGTTGTCTTCAGATAACATCATTTTATTCTCAGTGGAACGTTATTTTCCAGAAAGTTGTCTTGGAAAGTTGAGCCAAGGCTTAGGGACCGCAAGCCGTTTCTTCAGAACGATTCAAAAAATATGTTTTTCACATTGTTCGATAGAGGAGACTGTCCATTTTCATAATCCGTTTAGTTTTTGAAAAAAGCTCCACTAAGAAAAAAGTTATGGCCAAAAAACGAGCGCGCTCGGCGTTCAACTGGAGGCGAAATCTCACGGTTTACCCGCTGCCGCACGCTTTCTTTTTAAATGTTTTTGCGCGTTTCTGGACCGTTTTTAAATCGGTTTTCTGTTCTGAGAGGTTGTCCGAACGGAGCCTCATGTTTTGGTATGAATCTTTTGTACAATCCTCATAAGAATTTTTGATAAAATATCAAAAAACTACCTAGAAAAAAGGTCAAAGGGATTTTTCAGCTTATTTTTCTTTTTTCTACTCAGAAAAAAATTATTATCATTCGATTTAGAAATAAGAAAAAAATAAAAAAATAACGTTATATCGAAATAAAACAGGAAAAAGTGCAATTTGACTCCGAAAAACGGCTCCTGCGACATTTAAAATGGCGCATCGGTGTGTTTGACGCAAACACTGCTACGGACACTTGCACGAAATCTTCCGAAATTTCAAAAAAAATTGCCATTTTTTCGAGGTTTTCAAAGCCGTTATTTTTTTCGCGTCGATCGATTTTTTTCATAATTTTTTCATTGATAGAGTTTTGAACGCTTAATAACATAATCAAAAATATAGACGCGATCCTATTCTCTCATGCGTCAACGAGGCAGACGAAAAAAGGAGGTTTTGGAAAAACTCAAATATAATTTGATTCGCTGTCCCAATAATTATTTTCATTTTGAATTTTTATTTTTGGACACTTTGTTAGTTTTTAAATCAAATAAAAAGTATACCATGTCGCTGAAAATTTTTCGCATTTCAGCTTCAAAGTTTGCTGTCACTTTACAAGCTTTTAATATTTTTTTCGCGTCGGTAGATTTTTTTCATTTTCACTCAAAAAAATAAAGAAAGTGTTAATGTATAACATACTCAAAATTCAGAAGCGTTCCTCACTTGGTTTTTCTGAAACGCGACGATTTTTGTGAAACTTGTCAGTTTTTTTCGTGTTAAATCTTACTTTTTTTCGCTTAATTTTGAAAAAAATACATAGTTTTAAAAAAATATTGAGTCTTGTAGAACGTTGTCGATTACATAGGTTAACAGAAACAGTTCATTTTTAAAGAGGGACTTTAGCTAGTATAAACGCCTCAAAACCGTTTTTGCAACAAAAAAATCGTCATTTTGGTGGCGTGAAGGGGCGGGGCTTTGCGCCCCCTACCAAGGCTGCAAAAACTCTACACAAGGATTTTTTGAAATTTTTGATCTTCTCCGCCAAAAACCAGAACCATATGTTACAACCAGATGTAGAAAGTTGCGCTATCTGAAAAAGATTTCTGATTTATTATTTTTTTCAAACATCGAAAAAAATCAACATCGTTCAACGGGTCTGTCCTGATGTTTTTGGAATTTTGCTCAACAATGCGTCCAACCCAATTTGAAGTTCTTTCAAGAGAAAAAGTACCATTAATAACGTTGAGTAACTTTTTTTTCAATATAAGAATATTGAAGAGTGCTCTGCCCATGAAAAATAGCGTGCTTCTTTTCTGATCTCTAGCACGTGGCCGAGAGCCGTTCGAGAGTCAAGGAGAGAAACAGGCGGCCGGGCCAGGCCGGAGCAAGCCGTTGGATAATCAATCAGACAGGGGTGCAATCGAGCGGAGAATAATGGATTTACTACTAAAGATGTAATAGGCTTCCTGCAAAATTCAAAAATTAACTCCAGTTCAAATCATTGTGAGATTTCCGTCTGTAAAGCACAGCAGGCGTTCTACCTTACGCGCAAAAAAATTTAATTTAAAAAAATTTTTTTAATAATCTTGATTTATCCGTATCAAGAGCGCGAAGTAAACAGAAACCAGAACCGTCGCCAAAACGAAGTACCAATCAATTTAAGATAAATAAAGTTTGTCAACTCAAAACACATTTTTCTTATCACGAAATGGCCAAAATTGAAATCCCCGAAACGGTTATATTTCGCTTATTCGTGATAACACCAATTTTTTCTTCATTCTCTCCGTACATGCAATTTCCCTTTACCAGTTTTATTTCTCATTTCCTTGTCATTTTTCATATTCATTTTTCAAAACGCATAGAGAATTTTTTTTCGTAACAAATTTGTTCATCTAACTTCTCAAGGAAAGATTCTTTGGACACAACAGTTTGAAATCAACGCAACGATAACTTTATGAGTGAGAAACAAGGCGATCTATTCGCGGGGCTCATGCTGTTCCAATCAGTCGGCTCGCCCACCTTCAAAGATGCAAGTAGTTCACGAGGTTTTCATTCAAATTAATTTTCAAAAACTAAATTTTCTTATCTTCAGGCTTAAAGTTGAGATTTCTAAAAATTATTAATATTTTTGAGGTTTTGAAAGTTTTTTACTGAACAAATGATGGGCAAATGATCATTATTCATGAGAAACTGAAAACAGTAAAGGTCTCTTAGGCATAGCTGTAAAAGTGATAGAGGCACAGAAATGAATCAATTGACATCACTTAATCTTGGGAATGAAATAGTTTCTTTTGCAAACGTTTGAAATTCATATGAGGCAAAGGAGGAAACTACACGGGCTCACCTGCCACTGGCGACAAAGAGAATGAAACCAGGTTTCCTTGTTTCCATCATTTATTTTTATTTTTCAAATCAAACCTCACTAAAAAATTATGAAAAAAATACTGAACTAATTTTTTTATATAGGGCTTTTAGAGATTAATTGGAGTTTAATTATTCTGACTATTCCTAAAACCATGATTAAATTTTTCGAGAAAAAAACGAGATTAAGTCGAACGGTCATTGTTATTTTCCTTTGAAATTCAAAATTAACAAATTTCAACCATAGATAGTTCATTCACTATTTTTAACAGAAACCATCAAGAACTTTGCTCTCCTTTTACCAACATATTCTTCCTCCTCCCCACGGGAATATTTTTCCGATGGAGAAGTCCCGAGTTAAAGCAAAGATTTTTTTAGCGAGCAATAATACAAACTCTCCGCGTGGGCCAGAACTCCAACAAGCCAACTTGCCCACCTGCAGAAAGACGCCGTAGTTCACGAGGCCTAGATTTTAAATTTGATTCAAATTGTTTTCTCTCAAATACGTAGTTCAACATATCGGCTGCGCGGCTGTAAGAAATCTCTCCAAATATCATCTTTCATCATTATTTTGTGTTATTTTGCAGTTTTTTTTTTCAACAGGGGCATTTTTGGCGTCTACGCGGAATTCCGCCTCGATGGCCTACTCGTCCACCAAGAAGCGCTTCTGGAGGCATCCCTGATGCTCACCACGGCCTTCGGCATGTTCAACAACATGAAAAAAAGAAGAAAAACATGTAAGCAAATACTTCATTTCATTAACTAATTTCACAACTGAAATACTTTCAGGCTTCGCTGGAAATTTTTTTCGAAAGGAGGAAGTGTACATGAGACGTTTCATGGACACAGGCTTTTGATAGCCTCTCCAAAAAGGTGAAATTTATCTCATGAAAAATATATTTCTTAATGGAGTTTTGTTATTTCAGAAGTTGGCTGAAAAAAATGTGGCACAAGAGGGTTTCGAGAATTTTTTTCCAAATGAAGAGTGACTTGGCCGTAATGAGAAGATTTTACGCTAAATTATTAGTTATTTTATTCAATTTCATTTTTTTGTTGTTTCCAGTTTTTTTGTGATAATAGATTTTCTGAAAAAAACGAATTTCTATACACAAGGCCTACTTGGCCACCCGCTCCAGAAGAATTCATCTTGTCAATCGCTTTCTATTTATTTTTTTTTGCGAATTTTTTAATGAAATTGAAATCATGTCGTATTTTGATGTTTTTTTATTATTATTGTACAAAGTAAACAAAGAATAAAAATCAAAAAAGGTCATTCATTGTTGTAAGGACTCCCTACAACGACGTTTTGGAATTCCGTGTTGTAGGGGGGGTCTTGCAAGCGGAAGACCATTTCGGTCGTCCCCAGCTTGAAGACCCAGCAGAAAAAGAGGTACTCGGGTCGGAAACGGTCTCGCGAGGGTTTCCAGGCCGTTTCCGTGGGAGTTACCCCCATCCGCTGCAAGGCGAACTTCATTTTCGTCTTGCTGTCGTCGTCGCTCTCTTCGAATGGAGAGTTTATCTCGATGTAGCATCGAGGTGCCTGAAAAATCATTCATAAGGCAAACTCTCCAATAAGAATAATATGTTTAAATGAAAAGACGTTTTGCGGAACTTTCCTTTCAGGAAATCTTAAACAAAAACTTGAAATTTTTGAAACTTTTTCAAGACAAAATATTGAATTTTTTTCACTCTATCTGATTTGTTTTCTACAAAATGAACCTATACTAACCTTTTGCTTCGCTCCATTTTCTCCGATTTGCGGCTCCCTCGTCTCGTATTCTGCACAGCTCCAAGCGGCAAACTTGAAAAATGAGATCATTGATGAGATTTTGAGCTAAAGTGTTCAAAAACCTTTAGAAATTCCACGATTTTGTTGACGTTCGCCCTCAACTGACTCTCCACGTTGAGGACGAACACTTTCAACGGCGTCTTCTTGGCTCGGTGCTGCTCCATTATGCAGTCGAGGCACTCATCTGTCAGTATGACCTCCTCGCTTAGGCTCACCGACAATCTGAATTTTTTTTAATGTTAAGATCCTTTTTCTAAGATTCACCTGAAGAATTCGGAGGCTGGATAAGTTCCGATGAACTTTCGGAACGTCAGAAGGCCTCGAAACTGCTTTCTGACGTTCAAAGTGCCCGTGTTTCTCAGGCCATCGTAGCGGTAGAGGTTGGGGAACCACCTCGCGTAGTTCCGGAACCCCATCCGCTTGTCGACGTGAAAAGCGAGCTAAAAAATCTCACGTCAGTTTAAGCTGTCTTCGAATTGTGTCGCTATGACTATTTGACTACAAAATTTGTATTTAAAAGCAGTTCAAGCTGGTTTGATTGAAAATTTTCGGGCTTTTTTGAACTATTTTTGAAACGCGTTTTTATTTAAAATCTGACTAATTTTTTTCTGCACTGCGTAGAGCGAAACTTGAATTTTGATCGAAACAGCACGAACTGGACTTTGCAAGAAAGAAAACAAAGTTTGTCTCTGTTTTCGAAACTGTAAGCAGAAAAAAGCGGAAACCCACCGTTTCGGTCTCTGCAAAGAGACCCATCTCGGCGAATTTGAAGAAGACGGCCGTTTTCTTCAAAGAGGAAGAGCTTGCCACGTGCAACTCGACATGAGTCGAGATGTACTGACTGAGCTCCTCGTACAGCTCCTTCTCAAAGCCGTCCTGTTCATTCCACTGAAAAAATGCGTTTTATAGGATTTATTTTTTTGAAAAATCGGGAATGAAAAAGAGAAAAATAGATATATTCAAACTCACTTCAATTTTCTTCCGTTCGTCTTGGATGTCAGTCACGCTGACCCCATCCCTCAGCCAATCGTTTTGAAGATCAAAAAAACGACTTTAGCGCTGACGGGAGGTTTCCTATCTCTGAAAAACTTCAGAAGATGATCTTCCTTATTTTTTTGGTTTTTTTCATCTCTCTCGTCATTTTTTTCAGACGGCATTTTTAAAGAAGAATATTTTTGGGTTTTGCTATCAGAGATCTTCAAAAAACTTTCAAAAAAATATTTTAATGATTTCCAAGCCGTCAAGAAAAAACTACATTTTTCATGAACAAAATTTGATGAGAAGATTAGTTTAGCCAAAAAGAAATCAGCATTGGGTTCATCAAATTTTTTCATCCAAAGGAAAAGATTTGAGAAGGAATTTTTATCTCCGCTTGGACATTGTCATAGATGCAAACTAAAGATAAAATATAAAATAAGCCAGTGTTAAATAATATTTTCAGTGTAATCTCCAAAAAACGCTCTTTTTCAACTAGTCAACATAATTAATTGTTTCAAAGTAACGTACTGCAGGAGAGGCTGGGCTACAAAATTGGCCATCTTCGAAGATCTCGAGAACTTCAGCACAGTTCGATAATCGGCTTCGTTCAAGATCTTCTCGACAATGATGAGCGGCAGAGGCATGTTCGTTGACTGAAGATAACGAATCCAAAATGAGAAGAGTTAAAACGACAAAATTGTGTTTCTTACGAGGAAATGACTCGATAGAAGTTATTCAGGAAGAAAATGACAAATAGCTCGAGCTGAAAAAATTGAAAAAATTGACTTATAAAGAGGAGGGGTCAGTATCTAAATTCTGAAAGGTGAGTCGAAAAAATGAAATTAAGCGTGTTTCTAAACTGAAAACGTGATGAACTCTTTCATCGAAAAATTCTGAATTTCGTCATTAAATTGATTATTTTTGCAATGAATGATAACGTACAAATTTGTTTGTTGTGGATCATGGCCTTTTAATGAGATTTCATTCGGCTGGAAGCTAGGATACTTTATTGACTTTGAACATTTCGGTTCTCTACAGTAGGACATTATAAATGGTGCCCTGCTAAATTTTTCAAAATTAGGAGCTTGACTTTTCCACAATATCAACACGAAATTCATAGAAAAGTATAAGCTATGTGATATCTGATCGTTTCTACGTATTAGGATATAATAAATATTTTACTTCAACAACTACGTTGTCTAGCAAAAATATAACATTATCACTCAAAGTGTAACTTTGACTCGCAAATTTGAAAATTTTCTTTTTAAAGGAAATGAAAAAAGTTTTTAATGTTTTTTTCAAAGACCAGAAATTCTGTGAAAAAAAAGATGAATTCTAAAATAAAAAATAAAAGAAGCAAATGGGGAAAAAATTGAGGAAGGGATAGGATGAATCGAAGGAAAGACCTACTCTGAAGCAAGTCGAAACAAGGATCATTCAAGTGTTTTTTTTTTGCTGTAAATTGAGGTTTGAATATGGGAAAAAGTTAAAATCTCATGGTTTTATCCGGTCAAACGCAAAAAAAAATCTAATAGCCTCAAAAAAATAATAGGTTAATAGGTTTTACAAAAAAATTTCGTGGTTCCTTGACAGCTTTTATAACTAATTATTTCAAAACATTGATATCGAAATCGAAAACAATAACTCTTTATCGGGGAATATTCATTTTAGGAGCGAAATTGAGAACAATTTTCTCGGAGGAAACAAGGAAACGTTTCAATTATTAGTATAGGATAAGAACTTTCTAAAAAATCGTAGTTTTCATCATAAAAAACTAAAAAAGGTTAGAATATAGTTCAGAAAATAATGAAAAAAACTAAAAGGAGGGTAAAAAATAGTTTAGAAAGTAATGATTCGAATTATCAAGTTCATAGAAAACTTAATGAAGGTTAAAAGAAACAGGAAGAAAATGGAAAAATGCACGAGCAAAGAAGATAGAATGAGCCTCGAGTCGGAGGAAAGACCTATTTGAGAGCAAGTCGGTCTGAGAATGATTTCTTCTTGATACCAAAAAGAGGCGGACGGAGGCCACACGCCTTTGGGAAGAACTCGACGACGCCTACATGGCGTCCTGCTTCGGTAGGCAAAAGAACCGTCTCAGCGCCTCATCAACAGGTTTTAATGGGCCTAAAATGGGGTTTCTACTCATTCGCACTCATTTTACTCATTTGGTCGGGGAAAAAGAGCAAAGGAATTTTGCTGACGGGAAATAGCACCTTTTGAAAAAGACCCTCAGAAATGATCGTAGTGGGATTTGCGACTAAGACGTCTTCCCTAAGTGCCGTTGTTTTCACTTCGATTCGAAATGTCTCAATCAGAAGTGAGTGAAGAAATTTGAGAAGACGGAATAAGGGCTCAAGGTCGAGAAAAAAACTTGATGAAACAGTAAGAAGAAGTAATTTTGAATAAAAAAATTTTTGTCGGAAAAATTTTTACTCGATTTTGTCAATCTTTACGATTCGTTTGAAATGGTATTTTCTTCACAGGAGTAGGTTCTATTTTCAACGTTTTTTAGGCGCCGGAGGAGCTTTTTGGCCGAATGGGCCAAAAAGCTCCTCCGGCGCCTATCCGATGTCCACCGCAGCTTTCTTCATGTTCAGCAACATTCAAGGCAGTTCAAATGGAAGACGACTTGAGCAGAATAATTATACATAAATCTGTGAACTTTTTTTCACAACTAAAAATAATTTCAGGCTTTCGCTGGAATTTTCTCGATAGGATAAGTTTGAAATGTGATGTTCAATTGAAACAGGCTTATAACAGCCTTCCAAAAGGGCGAATTTTTTTCTCATCTCGACGTGATATTTTATTCTAGAATGGACTTTGTTTGTTTTGCAAATTCTTCTGATAATAAAATAATATTTTCAACGTTTTATTGTAAATAAACAAGAAAAAACTATGAAATGTAAAGATCGTCATACGGACTTTCTTCGATGACGTTTTTGAATTCCGTTTTGTTGGGAGGGTCTTGCAAACGGAAAACCATTTCGGTGCCTCCCAATTCAAATACATAACAAAATGAAAAAAGATGCTCATCAAGCTTCCATGCCGTTTCTGTTGGAGTTATTCCCATTCGCTGGAGGGCGAGTTTCATTTTCTTCTTGCTGTCGTCGTTGCTCCTCTTGTATGGAGAACCGATTTCGATGTAGCATCGAGGCCCCTGAAAAATATCTTAAAGATCAATGTATTTTTTTGTGTTTGAGTGAAATGAATATAAAAATAAATGTCTCTAATTAGAAAAAAATGTATCTAATTGAATCAAATTTTTCTGCAGAAAGTACATCTGTGAAGCTTGCAAAAGATCTGAACAATTTACAGTACTGAAATGAATAATTCGAGAGTTTTTGGAGACTGCAGTTTTAAGCTATCACCACTTCAATGTGATTTTTCTGGCACAAAAGAAATTTAGTTAGTTCTACTTACATTTTGCTCCGGCCCATTCTCCTCATCCTGCGGCTTCCTCGACTTGTACTCCGTACAACTCCACGCGGCAAACTTGCAAAATGTCAATGAGATTTCATACAAAACAGTGCAAATACCTCTAGAAACTTGATAAGTTTATTTACGCTCGCCCTAAACAGGAACTCCCCGTCGAGGACGAACACTTTCAGAGGCGTCTTCTTGAGTTTGTGCTGCTCCATGATGAAATTGAGGCAGCCGTTTGTCAATATGACGTCCCTGGTCACATTCATATGCATTCTAAATTTTTCTACGTTGGGTTAATTTTCTTCAAATTAACCTGAAATACTCCGAAGCAGGATAATTCCTAATAATTTTGCGGAAGGTTGGCAGGCCAATGAACTGCTTTCGGACGTTCAGAATACCCGGATAGCTCTTGCCGTCAAAGCGATAAAGGTTGGGGAACCAATTCGCATAGTTCCTGTACGCCATCCGCTTGTCGACGTCGAAGGTTAGCTGGAATTATCCTTTGAGTACGAAATATTATGAAATTAATTCAGAAACAGTTTCGCTCGAAAAGCAATTCATACAACCTGCCTCGTATCAGCTTCAATTTGAACATGGCTACTTATGCAAGGCTTAGAGAAACTGAATTTTTGAAGGGCTCGTACAAAATTCAATTATTTTTCGTGACCATCAAACTTTTGGGTTAAAAATAGCTACGACTTTTTGAAATTTCCACGGCAAAGAACATCACTTAGAAACATGGAACTTGAGCTCAATCAGCTTAAATTTGACTGAGTTATCGCCAAAAAACATAGTGTGCATTGATTTTTGCGTCAATGGTAACTGAACTCACCGTTTTCGCCTCCTTGAAAAGACCCATTTCGGCAAACTTCGTAAGAACACCTGTTTTCTTGAAGTAAGAAAACCTCATCTTATGCATTTTAACATTCGTGAAGACGTACTTGCTGAGCTTCTTGTACAGCTCCTCTTCGAAGCCTTCATCGTTTTTCCACTGAACGATATACTTTCATATGACTCAATCGAAACTCAGAAAAAGTGAAAAACAGTTCTGAGCTCACTTCAATTCGTTTGTCCCCTCCTTGAATGTTCTCCACGCAAACACAGTCCCTTTCGGGGTTATTGTGAAGGTGGAAAGAAACTGTTGCGCTGATTGGCGCTTTTTTCCTTCTGAAAAACTTTGTAAGATAATCTTCCTCGCTTTCTGCTTTTTTTTGGGGGCGTTTTCTGGGCAGAATTCATGAAAAAAAATTCTCAAAAAATTTTTTTGAAGGATTTTGTAGAGATATCAAGCCGTCTAGTAGAATTATCTTATCGTCGAGAGCGAAATTCAAAGTTATTTAGGTTAGCCGGTTAAAAATGAGAGTTGGGTTTGTCGATCTGTTTCATTCGAACGTAAGAAATTTGTAGTGGATTCCAATCTCCGCATGGACATCTGTGTAAAAAGCAAGTCCGTTCTATATCGGATTTTATCTACCACAGAATGCTCATCTCAAACCGGCCATTCTGATTTTTCATATTTTGAGGTAACGTACTGCAAAAAGGGCTGGGCTACGGAATAAGCCATTCGCGATGATCTTGAGAACTTCACCAGAGTTCGATAATCGGCATAGTCCAGGATATTCTCGACAACGCTAAGTGGCAGCGACATTTTTGGTAGCTGAAAATAATGAATCTCAAAAAGAGAAAAATAATGATAATTAACTGAAAAAAAAATATTTTTCTCACAAAAAATGCTTTTAACAGAATGATCACACATTTATTTTAGCACAAACTATGACGATAAAAAATGAACTTCACATGCTTTGTAAGATTTTGAAACTTCTGATAAATTTTTTGTAAAGCTCCGCCTTTTTTTCGAGGTACGGTAGAAAAGTGACCGTGAATCGTAAATTTTTTCCTAGTGTGGCTCGGAGTCCAAAAATCTTAAGAAACGAAGTTTTTGTGTTAAGAACTTTTTTTGTAAGATATTTTCTGGCATTAGAAAAAAATAGATTCTTGACAAAAATCAGCCTGTTTTTGTTACCATTTACAATTTTGTTTGCAGAAAATATTTCGTGTGTCCTACTTTTCATTTGCTTTCTCAAAGTCAACTGTTATAAATCAGGAAAAAATAACAGAAGCATCGGATTTCATGATCAGTAACACAACATTTTTTCGTTGAAGCAAGTCAATTTGAAAGTGAGTTATACATAGCATAAACCGCGTTAATGAACGGAAAACTTTTGAGAGATTGTGCTATTTTTGCTTTTATTTTTTTTAAAGTTACTCTGAATCTTGAACTTTTTTTTCGATTGTTTATAGAAGGGTCTTCTTGTTTTCTCATTGTTTGATGATCCTTGGAGACTCGTGGGGTCACAAAAAAAGTCATGAACTCAAACTTCATGACTTATTGCTCAACCGAGCAGTCGAAGATGCGCGTCTCAGCGAGCTCTATATCTATAACTAGAAACCGTAGACCGATCTTTCCAACTCAAAAAAACCGATGCAATTATGAGAGATATTTACCTCTTGAAATATACCGGACAGAACCAAAATAGATAAACGAAAAGAATGGAAAAAGAAATGAAAAATTGATTTCAGTATTTGGAAAATGTAAGATTTTTTCACTGAATCTCAAGTTCACCGCAAAGCTAGGCAACGTGGGCGCGCTTTTTGGCAAGCGCCGCATGGTTTAAAAACAGGCTGTCAGAAGTTTTTTTGAAAACTTTTGTTTACTTGTGCAGTAGCTGCACCCGTGTGCCTGCGGTCATGTGAGTTACAGTAGGATCTCAATATTAAAATAGGCTCTGTTTTCTGAAAACGTGTTTTTGGCTTCGCTAAATTTTTAATTTTATCCATTCTCACTTATAAAATTGAGTCGAACAATTTCAATTGCTTGATGGAATTGTATTCGTGATGACGATGGAGTTGATAAATGTTTTTTTGTGATGCCCCAAGTCTTCACGAACCATTTTTAAAAAAATTATAAAAAAACTAGAAAAATCGTTTTATAAACAGTCGCGATAAGTATTCAAAATTTGGAAAGGCTTGGAAAAAAAGAAAAGCAAAAGAGTAAATCCTACAAGCAATTGTTCAGGTTGGCCCTACACGGTAAAAACTGCTCTTCTCCTTCGACTCAGACAGCGATATGAACAAACAAAATTCACCATTTCCCGATAAAGTTTTAGCCATAGCACATTTTTCAAGTTGGCTCGCTTTAACGCAAGAAATGATGTGTTACTGATCGTGGAACCAGATGCTTCTATTATTATATAGGTTGACTCTAGCAGAAAAAAGAGATCCAGGGGTCTTTACTGTTGCGAAAATTATAAAATGGAGAAAAAACGACGAATTTTGTGAAAAAGTCAGTTGTTTCTAATGTCAGAAAAGATAATACGAGAAAATTTTCGACACAAAAACCATTTGTAGGTCCAAGCCCCCAACTTTAACTTTCAGCAACACTAGTAAAATATTTGCTTTTTGCGATAACTTTTTGCCCGTACCCCGAAATAGGGGCGGAGTCAAACCAAAACTATTAAAAAATTAATATTTTTACGAAGCGTCCATGATGGAATTCAGAACGATTAGAATTTTTTTTCTCAATAATGGTTTTCGACTTACCTTGATTTATTCAGAGAATGTGGGGTAAAGAAAACAAGTGAAATTCAAAAAATCTTGTTTTGGATTTGGAACTCTCTAAAGATTTATAGTTGTTAATTGAGATTTGAATTCGAGAAAAGTGCGATAATATGTTTCAAAAAGTTACATAATGATTCATACTTTCAAGTTCAAAAAAGAAAAAAAAACAGAAAAGAAGAAGCAAGACAGAAAAAGATTGAAAGTGAAAAAAAACTGTGATGAACGAAGAACTGTCTGAAGATTAATAGTTTCAATTGAAATGCGTATTTGATAGTGATATAAATATTTGCGCAATAAAGTCCAACAAGATGGAAAAAGTATAAAACGAGAAAAATATGAAAAGGATAAATCGTGGAGGAAAAAAGTCGGAGAAAAGACCTATTTTGAAGCAAATCGGTATATGACTACTTTTTTGTACAGAGAAGAGTCGGACGCAGGTCAGACGCCGGTAGGAAGGACTCACCGACGCCGGCGTGGCGTCCTGATTCGAGAGGCAAGAGAACCATCTCAGACCCTCATCAACAGGTTTTAGTCAGACTTGAATAAGGTTTTGCCTCATATCTAACTCTTACCTAGGGCTATCGAACCTACATAGTCTCAATTCTTAACTTGATGTTCAGGGGAGACCATACCCTAGTAACCAGTTGATTGGTTGGTTGAAAGAAGGGCAGAACCATCTTAATTATCAAAAACAGCAATATTTGAAAGAGACCACCAGAAAAGTTTTTAGAGGGAGACAATCTTTCCTAGATGTCGTTGTTTTTTCCACGACCATCACGAACTTCTACGCACTGAGTGCGAATGAGTCAAAACCACAATCACGGCTCATCAAAACCTGTTGATGAGGCGCAGAAACGTTTCTTTTGCCTCCCGAAGCAGGACGCCAAGTAGGCGTCGTCGAGTTCTTCCCAACGGCGTCTGGCCTCCGTCCGCCTCTTTTTGGTATCAAGAAGAAATCATTCTCAGACCGACTTGCTCTCAAATAGGTCTTTCCTCCGACTCGAGGCTCATTCTATATTTTTCGCTCGTGCATTTTTCTATTTTCTTCTTGTTTCTTTTAACTTTCCTTAAGTTTTCTATGAACTTGAATATTCGTATCATTATTTTCTGAGCTATATTCTAACCTTTTTTTAAGTTTTTTTGATGATGAAATTTAGGATACTCTAGAGCTCCTAGTCTATCGAAAAAAAACTGAAACGTTTCGTCTTTGCCTTCCTGAAGATTTATTTTTTTCAATTTCCCCTCCGACTCGAGGCTCATTCTATTTTTTTCCATGTTTCCATTTTCTTCTTGTTTCTTTTTAACTTTCCTTAAGTTTTCTATGAACTTGAATATTTGAATCATTACTTCCAGAACTATTTTTTTTCCTTCTTTTAACTTTTTCATTATTTTCTGAGCTATATTCTAACCTTTTTCAAGTTTTTTATGATGAAAACTATGATTTTTTAGATAGTTCTTAGTCTACGAATAATTGGAACGTTTCCTTGTTTCCTCCGAATAGACTTTTCTCAGTTTCGCTTCTAGAAGGGATACTTCCGATAAAAAAGTTTTTGTTTTGGAGTTTGCTATCAATATTTTGAAAGAATAAGTTCTAAAACCTGTCAAGGAACCACGACCTCTTTTGTGAAGCCCATTATTTTTTTAACTTCTCAAATTTTTTTGTAGCTTCTAACCGGATAAAAAGATAAAATTTCGGTGGTATGAAAAGAACACCAGCGAAAATTCAAACGGCGACTTTTCCGATTTATTCAAATCGCTACGGAACTTTCCGACGGCCACCTTTCCGACTAATCTTTTTCCGACTTTTTTTCTCGATAAAATCTTCGTTTTAAATCTTCCTATATGAAGTAAGTAGTTGGTTCATGATTAAAACACAAAGAAATTGGATAAAAAAAAAATGTAAATAGATGTCTTATAAACAGAAAAATATAAGGGAAAAAAGTCAGAAAAAGTTTCGGCGGAAAAGTGGCCGTCGGAAAGTTCCCTAGCGATATGAAAAGATCGGAAAAGTCGCCGTTTGAATTTTCGCTGGTGTTTTTTTCATACCACCAAAATTTCAGGCACTTCCCATATTCTCAACCGTCAATAAGAAAATTTTCACCATTTTCAAAAAAAAGCCACTTGAAAGCATAAACTCGAAATACAGAAAGGAAAAGTTCATTCCCCTTTTGGCTCTGCAAAATGTTTGTATTTAATACTTCATCTTTTTGGTTACATAAGACTTACTCTCTTTTCTATAGGTCACTTTTTTTATACTTTAAAATTATGATCCTCACTTCCAAAGTACTATTTCGAATAATTTCTTTGTGAGAAACACTATTTTGTCGTTGATTAACTCTTTTCATTTTGGACTCCTCAACTTTCGTCAACGAACATGCCTCTTCCACTCAACATCGTCGAGAAGATCCTGGACAACGCCGATTACCGAACTCTGCTGAAGTTTTCGAGATCTTCTAGGATGGCTAATTTTGTAGCCCAGCCTCTCTTGCAGTACGTTACCATAAATGATGAAATATTGAATTGTCCGGTTAGAGAGGAGCATCGGTGGATAAACTTCGATTTTCATCTAGGACCTTTTTCAAATTCTTGCGTTCAAGTGAAACAAATTAAAACATGTTCTCCGAGAGAATCGAGGAACGGCTAGAACAGGGGGCAAAAAAAATTCAAGTTGCTTTTTACGAGCTCATACTTCTATCACAACAACTACAGATGCATACAAAACTTTTGAACGAGGTTTTGTAAGGCTCCGCCACTTTTGAGGATTACTGTGACCGAAATAAGAAAAAAATCTAATTTTTTTCTTCGTGGTCCAAATTGAATAAAACTTTTTTTAAACGAAAGATGATGCCTAAATGAACAGCTTCTTCCAATGGTCTCGGCGCTTCGAAACAAGCACAACCAAAACACTGATTGTATTTTACTAAGATCAGATTGAAAAATTGTTTTGAAAAAGAGTTATAAGTTTTCAAAATTTTCGAGAGAAAAAAGTTGGATCTTTTTCGTATTTCGGCTACAGTAATCCTCAAAAGGGGCGGAGCCTTACAGAACCTTGTTCAACATCTGTAGTTGCTGTGAATTTTTGAAAAAAACAACATGAATTTTTTGTGCCCACTGTGAATCGCATATCTCAGAGAACATTTGTTAATAACACTAACGCTCATTTTCAACCGATCCACCTGATTGACTTTGAATTTTGTCTATAAATGAGATCAGTCTTATTGACTGCTTGAAATTCTTCATAAAAATCTTCAAAATGTTTCAAGGTTTTCTGAGCGTAGAAATCTACCCATTTTTATGAATAGCGTTCAGTAAAATGTCCTTGCTTAAGCGAAAAACAAAAACAAAAAACACAAAAAGAGGAGAGATATTTTAAAAACTTCAGAGAGAGAAAAGCGCCAATCAGCGCTAAAATCGTTTTCGAACTCCAAAACGATTGGCTGAGGGATTGTGTCTGCGTGACAGATATTCAAGACGAGCGGAAGATGATCGAAGTGAGTTCAGAGCATATTTTTTCTTTTTCACTTTTTTTTCGCTGTTTCAAAAAACCTCATAAATATGCACTTTTTAGTGGAGCAGTCAGGAAGGCGTCGAGCAGGAGCTGTACAAGGATCTGAGCCAGTACGTCTCGACACATGTCGTTCTGCACGTGACGAGCTCTGCTCATTTGAAGAAAACGTCTGTTTTCCCAAAGTTCGCGGAAATGGGTCTATTCGCAGAGACCAAAACGGTGAGTTTCCACTTTCCTGCGGCTTCCAAAATTAAGAAAAGCCTTAAGCTACGTTTGATTTCGCAAAAACCCAGATGTAATTCCTACTTTTTGAAATAAAACACGACTATTTTCAGTTAAAAAAACTATTCAAGTCACATGCTGAATTGAAAAAAATTTTTTTGTTCACGATTTTCAAAAAAATATCAGTAGTATTTATTCAAATTTATATATGGGAAAAAAAGTTTCAGCTCACCTTCCACGTCGACAAGCGGATGGGGTTCAGGAACTACGCAAAGTGGTTCCCCAACCTTTACCGCTACGACGGTCAGAGAAACACAGGCACTCTGATCGTCAGAAAGCAGTTCCGAGGCCTTTCGACGTTCCGCAAGTTCATTGGGAACTATCCAGCCTCGGAGTTCTTCAGGTGAATCTCAGAAAAAAGATCTTAAAATAAAAAAAATTCAGATTGTCGATGAACGTGAGCGAGGACGTCATAGTGACAGATGACTGCCTCGACTTTATAATGGAGCAGCACCGAGCCAAGAAGACGCCGCTGAAAGTGTTCGTCCTCAACGTGGAGAGCCAGTTGAGGGCGAACGTTAATAAAATCATCGAATTTCTGAAGGTATTTGAGCGCTTAGCTTCAAACCTTATTAACGCTCTTTTTTTTTCAAGTTCGCCGCTTGGAGCTGCGTCGAATACAAGGCGAGAGAGCCGCAGAATGGAGAGGAAGGAGCGGAACAGAATGTAAGTATAAAAAACTGAGTGTCTGAAAAACCACTTCGAAAAATTTTTCTTATTTAAATGCAATTTTTCTATTTGAGAAACATAGCATTTTCATGGAAAGAATTATTTTTCAGGCACCTCGATGCTACATCGAAATAAGCTCTCCATTCGAAGAGAGCGACGACGACAGCAAGACGAAAATGAAGTTCGCCTTGCAGCGGATGGGGGTAACTCCCACGGAAACGGCCTGGAAGCCCTCGCGAGACCGTTTCCGACCCGAGTACCTCTTTTTCTGCTGGGTCTTCAAGCTGGGGACGACCGAAATGGTCTTCCGCTTGCAAGACCCTCCCTACGACACGGAATTCCAAAACGTCGTTGTAGGGAGTCCTTACAACAATGAATGACCTTTTTGATTTTACTTTCTGTCAATATTGTACATAATAAATATATCAAAAATACGACAAGTCTTTGACATTATTACAAACGCGCAAAAAAAGTTGGTTGGCGGTGAACCGAAGTCGACGAGTTCGCTTTTGTCTGTTTATGAAAATGGTAGAAAATTTGATGAAAAATTTCATATTTTTTTGTAGTTTCTCACAACTGCAGAGAATCTGAGATTTACATAGTTTTCTTTTTGGCAACAGAGATAATGTCTACAATAAACATGAAAAGTGATTTTATTCACAAGTGAAGAAACATGAAATATTATTAAAAACCTTGAAGTCAAAAATGAAGTGAAAGATATTAGTTGAGTCTTGTGTAGACGACTCGTGTATGTTCCAAATATCCAACTTTTGGATGAGTGGCAGTTCTCATCTCGATCACTTGCTCCATGTATCGGTCATCGTGTCGGATGAAAGTTCTTCTCAGCTGAAACGTTTGTTGTCGGTTAAAAAATGAAAGCATTACAATATTAAGAAAACTGTTATTTTGTTCAATCATTCACAAGGAAGTCTTACGAAAGGAAAAACTTTTAAATTGATGAATGACTTCGATCAAAAGTCTGAAGGAAAAATCTTTCAGATACAGTTGACATAAAAAAAAACACCTGAAATGTTCAAAATTCAGGAAGGCGGGCGGGAATTCTCTTCACGCGATGAAAATTCCTATTTCAGCTCGAAAATTTCCTCTAATGTGGTCAACCGTGTTTCATAACAAAAATTATGTGTATTTCCTTGCTTTTTTGGAGGAAAGTGAATTGTTTCAATCAAAACTGTACTTTCCTGTTTCAAATTTTCCATCTATGGAAAAATGCTCATCAGTGAGCTCTAGAAGCCTCTCAAAAACAAATTCATCAAAACAATCTACTTTTTAGGGCAACAGTGACTCGATTCAGTAAAAACAGTACTTTAAAAAAAAATCATTATCTTCTGTTCGAGATAATTTTGTTGACTGTAGAAAAACTTACATCTTCAACGGGTAAATCTCTGGAAAAAGAGATGCGGCCAATATCTTTCAGCGTCAGAACCAGTTTGTTCGGAGATACTTGTCCGACCTCATAAGTTGTGAAACCTGAATAATTTCGTGATTGTCACTGTTCAAAAATGATCTGAACCGTTGTTTCCAGTGGTCATCAAAGTCGCGTTTCCGGCAGGATCAACGGTAAGATATCCCCATTCGTCGTGGAAATGATCCTTGGTTGAATGAGACCAAGCTCGGGCACTGTAAAGATGTTTTTTTGTGACATTGAAGAAAAAAAGTAGATAATTAACACAGTTCTAAGGTATTTAAAATATTGCTGGATTGCAAATATCTTTCTTGCATTCTCCATTTCCCATTTTCGATCTGATTTCTGGCTCTTGAAAGGCAAAAATTTATGTTTCATTCCCACCACAAATTTAGAGAATATGATCAACAAAAAAATCAAACACAGTTAAAAAAATTCTTAGGCATAGAACTTGCTTGAATCGTCCAAAATGAAGATGATATATTCCAAAAAAATTGTAATTTCGACAAAAAAAGGAATATTTTTCCCAGTTAATAAAGATGCGCGCCTTAGAATTTTTGAAATACTTGTCCGTGAAGTTTGAGAGGACATGAAAAAAAGTTGTATTTTTTTTGCAATCTCATTGATAATCAAAATGAGAAGGTTCAACATCTGAGAAATGACTGACTTTTTTCCTGGAGTATTGAAAAAAAAAAATGAAACGAAAGTTTTTTCATGTTTCACATTCTCGACTCTAATGAATTTTCAACGTCTTCATTGTGTTTCATCAATCGCAAATTCGAAAAAAAAACTTTCCTCGACCCAGACAATTATCAGATGATAATTGAATAGACAGTTTTACCCACTTTTAGTTGTTTTTTTTGCCTCCGATCTCCCTTCATCCAGTTTTCTAACCCAAAAACGCGATAACACCGCCGAACGATGGGTCAAAGCGTAGGGACAAAGAAAAAAAAGCAGCGGTTGTAATAGTTTTCGCAAGCTGTATGAGGAAGTTTTCCGTCAGCCGTCTCTGGGTGGGAAATCGAAAGTTAAAAGTGAAACCATGCAGAAAAATAGTCACAAGAAGTACATGACAGCGTCTCTCACAAGGAAAGTCGTTTTTTTTTTCAAAAAGTAGTGATTTTGGAACTTTTGATCAGCTTCTACTGTCCTAGGAGGCGCAAAATTTAAAAATCTCCTGATTTTTTTGAGAAATATTTTCAGTTAATCGATCTATAGGTTTTTTTCATATCATTCAACTTTTTTTCAAGCAGCTCAAAAAAAATAAACAGTGAATATTTGGCTTGATATTTTTTTTAGGAGAACAATTCGAGCTTCAGAAATCTTCTCAGCGAAACTCTAAATGACGTTTTTTGCAATATGAGTTCGAGAATAAGCTCCCATTGAGTACTAAGAATTTTAAAAGAAAAATGAAACCCGTAAAAATCATAGAATATGAGCCAAAATTATTCACAGTTTGTTTTAAAAAAAAAGAATTATAGAAGAACTCACGAAAAGTTGAGGAACTGAACATTTGCCGATTTAGCCACTGGAGCCTCGTCAATAATCAGTTCTTCACCAAAAGTCATAGTTGGGACTGTTGGCCAGAAAAACCTGAACTTCTAGAAAAAAAGATGAAATAAAGCGTCAAAAAAACAACCTTTCCTGAAAAACTCGGATCTCCATTTACCCATAATCCACTGAAGCTTCTCATTTTGTTCATTAAGAACCTGAAAATTTTTTGATCTAATTTTCATTGAAATGAGGGGATTGAACTGAAAATGTTAGTCTTTGCGAGTTTTGAAAAGCTTAATGTGAATAAACAAAAAAAGACCATATTTCAAAAATTTTGATATAATATTGTATCGATTTTTTTCAAGTTCGTTGATGGAAAAAAATCAAGAAATCCAAGTTAACAATATATTGGGAAAAATAGAGTTCAAAAATTTTTTTTTTAATTGTTCACTACAGAAAGGAATCAGGTCGAATGAACTTGTGTGACAAATGAAGGAACCTCTTTGGTGTTCAAAAACTTGTATTTCACTGCTCTTATCGATTATTTGAAAATGAAACCAGCTCAAAAATTGTACAATAAAGCTCTTTTACAATATCAATCCAATTGATAGGCTTTACCTGTTGTGTGAATGGGACGAGAGTTACGAAAATGAAAATGCTGAATGCATTTCGCAGGGGTAACATCTCGGAAGAATGGTCACGAAGACAAATCAGACCGGTCCCCGTCGTTCCTCGACAGACGCCTTCAGAGGCCTCCTCGTTCGGCTACTCTCTCGCTCTTTTCGGCTTCGCTTCTCCGTCCGCCCCGCCATTTGGAGACCTCGCACGTCGACGAACGCCTAATCCCACCAATCCATCTTTCAGGTGTTCCATAAATGATGCCACAAAAAACAAATAAAAAAACTTACTAATTACGGATAAATCAAAGTAATGAACATTCTTGTTCAGCTACTTCCCTTTTTCACTGGGTAAGTGAAATTAGAAAAAAAAAAGTCCGTAGTATAAATGATGGCGGAAGCAGGAAACAGCGTAAAGAGTTTTGAGAAAAATCAAGTTTTAGTTACTTAATGAGGTTTGGAATTATCCGATTCACTTACTCGACACCTTCTAGCAAGGTATAAAAAGTTTATAAAAAACCGAAAAAATCCCGTACCGTGTTTTTCATGTTTTCCATGAGTTTTCACGCTAGAGAAAAGTGAGAAAAAAAGTTACAGTCAACTTGAAAAAAAGGTCCGTACCGTTTTTTTAGGTTTTTTTCGTAAAAAAAGAAAGAGCATGGAAATTCTGAAAAAAATAATTTTTTTATGAACATTATTTATTTCTTTATTGTCAGAACAACGCAAATAATTAAGATACAGATAGAAAGGAAATAATATAACATTGGACAGACAACAAAGCTAAGAAGGTCATATGGTGCCCTAACGAGCAGCATGGCGACCGTTCGCAAAAGAGAAGAACAAAAAAGATAAACTATAAGAGACGATTGGGGATGTTGATAATAAGTTCGCTAACAGCTATCCTAGATAATTTATCTTTTAAAGTTTTTGGGGTGGCACGAAAAAAATTTAATTTGGTTATTAATATGTTCCAAAAGAGTTATATGACGCGAAAAAGAAGTTATCTGATAATGAACCCCTAGTTTGTAACCGAAGTGGATGTCTACCTAGCCGAGAGAAGGAAATAAAGTTGTCAATTGATGGAAAATGATCAATTTTTAAAACAATTTTATGGAGAGAGAAAATATCAAGAAGAAGACGACGTTGAAAAAGCGGAAGAACATTGACTTGAGTTAATCTGTCTTGGTATGAAGTGAAGCTAAGATTGCATCTAATAAAAACTTCTCGAGAGAAGAAACGTAAGGAACTTTCTAGTTTATAAGATAGATCAGAGTTTAGAGGAGGGTTGAAAACCTCAGAACAGTATTCTAAAATTGGACGAACATAGCAATTATAAAGTTTAAAAATATAGGGACGGTGAGAGAAAAACGAAAAAGAATTTAACAGTTGTTTGGATCTCAGAAGGGCTAAAGCGGAGACTTTATGAATATGATTAGAAAAAAAGACAATTTTTTTCATCGATAATTACACCAAGATCCTTAGTAGATTGAGTCGCAGGAATGATGTTAGAGCCGAAAAAGTAGACATTTTTGGGGTTTCTAGGACCAAGATAAAGAGCATATGACTTTTCAGGAGCGATGGGAAGCCCCCAAAGAGAGGACCATTCAATAATTTCGTCAATAGCTTGTTGATTATGGGACGGGGAACAACCAAAAATTTTGATATCATCGGCGAACAGTACAGCTTTAACATTGGAATTCAAATGATGAAAAATATCGTTTATAAAAATAAGGAAGAGGAGAGGGCCAGAAACAGTTCCTTGAAGGACTCCACTTGGTATAGGAAAAGAAGAAGTAGACAATGAGTCATTAACTTTGACAAAAAGATTCGCGACCCGTAATAAAAAGATTTATACCAGTTGCAAAAGCGTTTGATCAAACCCGAAATTTTTTTAGTTTAAGCAAAAAGGAGGTCGTGAGAGACTTGATCAAATGCTTTTTGAAAATCGAAGTAGATGACGTCAACTGATTTTTTAAGGGCAATATCGGCTTTCCAAGAAGAAAGGCATTCGATAAGAGATAGTTTACAAGATCTTTTATTCATGAAGCCAAATTGAAAGTTAGATATCTTATGACCAAATTTAGAGCGAACAAACTCAGCTACAATTTTTTCCATGAGTCGAGAAATCGAGTGTGTCAAAGTGATAGGACGGTAGTTGGAAGGGTCACTCAATTTATTTCGTTTATGAACTGGAATAATATACGAAGTTTTCCAGGAAGAAGGGACGAATCCAGAATAATAAGATTCTTGAAAGATAATCGAGAGTGGTAGTGATATCGAATGAGCACAACGTTTGAGAACCAGCTGATTGATGTTATCATTAGAAAAACCAACTTTTGATGGGAGTCTAGATAAATAACCGAAGACAATTTCTTGGGAAAACAATAAAGAGCAGTTGGAAGATCTAGGTGAAGGAAGAATAAGAGGAGAAATGACTGGAATATCAGAGAAATTAGATTTGAACGTAGTAACAAAAATGTTAGCTTTTTCAGTGTCATCGTTATAAGAAGTGCCATTATAGATGATAGGAGGAATATCAACTCTAGTTCTAAGTCGATTTGAAATGTATTTGGACAGATTAGAGCCGTATAAGTTATTAACAACGGAATTCTCCTTATTTCTTATGAATTTAGCGACACGTTTGCGGGTTTTTTTAAAGCAATTACGAAAATCAATGCGTTCCTGTGATGAAAACGAGCCGGAACGGATAAGATCAGAACGATAACGTAGTAGAGATTTAAGTTTCCTTTGCGGTTTAAAACGGAAAGAAGTTACCTGAGTACAAGGACAAAATTGTTGAATCAATTCATTGAAAACCCTAGAGAAGTGAGAGTATTTAGATTCAGGGGTGGAAAAATAAGAAAGTTGAAGAGGCCAGTTGTAACAGGACAAAGCGGCATTAAGAGAAACATAATCACAACGTTTAAAATTCAATTTAATTTTTTTTGCAGTGAATTTTGAGCGATTTGAATTAGGTAATGAAAATACTATGGAGTGGTGGTCAGAACCAAGTACAGGCAGGGTGATTTTGAAATCGAGAATGGAGGACGGATTAGATGCAAACAATAGATCCAGAATATTGGAGGAAGTAGCAGCGATTCTAGTTGGATCAAGGCAAAATTGAAGCAAATTATTCACCGTAGCAAATTGTACAATAGGTGATGAGAAAAAGGAAGGCAAGTGATTCCAATCAATTGAACTGTAGTTAAAATCGCCAATTATGACGTTATTTTTAGGTGAAAGGTACGAACTTATATGTGAAAAAAGATTAGAAGAAAAATTTTTAGAGGTGTTAGGAGGCCTATAAACTAGAAAAAATCCTAACTTTACTTTGTAAAAGACAATCGAAGACAAGTAGATCACAAAAATGAGAAGAGTAGGAAGACGTAATGTTGGTATCCACTTCGGACACATTAAAATGTTTTTTGTAGAGAACTAACGTGCCACCACCTATATTAGAAATGTTGTTAGAAATTCTGTCGAACCGTAAAAGATTGTAATTAGGATTATTAAATAGATGATCAGGATAGCTGCTGTCGAGAAAAAGTTTCTACAAGTAAACAAAAAAATCAACGGAATTATTTTTCAAGAAAGTCAAAAAGAAGCGTTATTTTAGACAAAGATCTAATAGAACGTATGTTGCAATAGAAAAATTTGACAAGCGACGATTCGAAAGAGGGAAAGGACGCAGGGGCAATAGAGGTAGCGTGCGAGCTAGAGCGCGCGTGAGGCGAGGAGACGCAGAGAGATTGGCATGACTCCAAGGTTTTCGAAAATTTTCGAAAATAAGTAGGAATCTCACACGAGGAAATTTGCTCTACGCGCACGCTATCTGTACAATCAAACATTATTAGCGGGAGGCGAAGACATCAAATGATCAGAATCAATGATGCCTTCAGAAGAAGAGCGTGCAAAGTTATTAACAAAAAAAGAGGAAGGATTTTTTCGTTGAACAATGGTAAGATCGCGAACATAGTAAATAAATTTGTTGGCTTGAACATTCTTATTATTGGGGGAAGGATTTGAGGGAAAGTTTATACAGCACACTCTTCTCCACAGGCGAGATAGAATTTACAGTTTACTCCTTAGAAAAGATCGATATCGTTCATAAATGGGAGGTAAGATAACCTTTTTCCAAATTGTGAACTTTTTTTTATACTTGTACTTGTAAAATACTTGTGAAAATACTTGTAAAAGTGGGGTTTTTTTGAGTGCAGAAAAAAATAAATCAACTACTCATTGAAGATCCAAACAGCTCAGGAGCTTTCAAAAAAGCCGATGAAATATATTTCGGCCTCTAAACTTATTTGATGACTTTTTTTTCTGAGAATTTCGAAGTAAAACCTTGATTCGTATGGGTTTCCATCAAAAATTGTCATCCATTTCATCAGAATAGGGAATTCTACAGTATTCTGAACCTCATAGAATCATTTTCTCGAATAACATCTTCTGTTCAGCCCGATTCTTATAATTTGACGAATTCAGACACCCAAATCATAACAAAAACATCATTAAACTTTTGTATTCTCTCATTTTCAGAATTAAACTACGACCACTGGGGATATAAGAATGAAATCTTTTTCTTGTTCTCGATTTTTTCGTTTGAAGACAAATTTTCGTTCAGTTACTGTAATATTTTTCAGGGAAACGAAAAAAATGGTGTTTCGAACTTTTAATGGAAATTTAGGGAGAAAAGCATCTTTCCACTTTTCCGATCCACGAAACGTCATTTTATTTTGCAGTCTAATAGTTCCGAAGAATTTTAACGGTGAGATTCAATCTGCATAAATGTTTAGTTTTCGAGATAAGAAGGGCTAAAAACCCCAAATGAGCATATGTTAACCAATTTTTTGAGTTTTTTACGGCTTTGGAGCGTCTTTCCTCAAAATCTCAAGAGTTTTTCAAGTTAAGACTTCCTGGATCTTTTTTTTTTGGTACATGGATAAGTATCCTGGCCAATTAAAAAAAAGTCCCAACCCCAAGTTTGAATAACCTTCCTTGTAAGTGAAAGAAAAAAGAACCAGGATCTTTCCTGATTGAGTTGATTTGCAAAAACGCCGCTGATTC